TTGTTAATTTTAAAATAGATTCAACAGTTTTTTTTTTATATAAAACTTACACGTGGGTTGGGCAATAAGGGCCAACTGATCCTTTACCCTGGCAAAGGTGTAAACAACAAAAAATAGTAAATAAACACGTAAATTAAGCTAAAAAAAACAATTTTACAAGAGATATATTAAATAAATAGTTATTCCAGCTCTGCTGATAAATATTTCTGACGAAATACCAGATCAAGGTTATATACAGTTTATCTCTGAAAAAATGTACCCATGAAATTTATATTTGCATTGGTTGAAAATTGTAACTATTATTTCGTAAAATCTCTTTAAAATTAAAAATGAGACTTTGAATCTATTTGGCCCTTGGCAGGTGACAAATTTTTGAAAAACAGCAAAAAACTCATTTTTACAATGAAGAATTGGCTGGGAAGTTTTACTAGTCAGATAGTTGTTTGTTTGATATATGTTATTTGTTCTGACATAATTGGTTTGGTTTTTACTATAAAATGCTCAAAGTCAAATTAGATCTTTGTGCCTCGTCCTACCTTACCTTAAAACTTAGAAATACTTAAGTGAAAAACCTAAAATAAAGTTCATCAATGTTTACAAATATATATATATATATATATATATATATATATATATATATATATATATAATATATATACTTTTATTTAAAATTTAGCCAACCACAAACTAATTTTCTTTCAATTTTTTCAACGTTTTTTTTACCTTTATCATTTATTATTTTACGCACATATCATTATAGAGAAAGCCGTTTTCGGGATTTGCATCTACAGAGACAAAAATATTTATCAGAATCTATGTTATTATATATTTATTTTATAATCTGTTTATGACGAATTATTTTTGTCTCTGTGGATATGTGTCCCTCGTCATCGAATTCATTTAATGAGACGCTTCTACTTGTAAATATTATAAGACAAATAAATAAAAATTATTATTAAATAAAATTATTACATTATGTGTAACTCACAATGTAAAAAATGATATCAGTAAATTACCTGAATAGAAAACTTGGGTATTTATTTATCTTCCCGAACGAAAAATTTATGTTTTGTTAGAACATTCGATTTGCTGATTTTGTGTTTTCTCGACATTTCAAGTCGTTCTGAATCGAATGAGACCAAATTTAGAAAATGTATAATATGTGTGTATGTGTGTAAGCTGATTTTTGACCTTTCATCGACGTTTTGTCAAAAGCGATCTCAAAATTTTCAAAGCTATTCGATGTAACTCGATAAGGACTAGAGTTTCTCAGTTTTGTGCGACGATCGGCCGAGCCGTTTTTTCTAATTAGCGAAAAAGTGCAAAATTTTGCGTCCACTTTTTAATTTTGTACTCTAAAATAACATACTAAAATATTATAGGTTTAACCACCTATTACAAAAATTCATCGGAGTTTTTTCACCTGCTTTTCACCTGCTTTTCACCTTATAGAGATTTTATTAATACGTACAGATTTTGATTATACTTGTGAAAAAAAAAATTTTTTGATACAATTATCTGTACTAATGCGACGCGGCGCTTACACGCTTTGATATATCGTCATTGACTAAAAAAGTTAAAACATTTCAAAATATAAACAAAAAATTTAAATTTTACAAAAAAGTCATTTTTTTTCAAAAAATTCAAAATTCTCAGAAATCTCATTTATTCAAAATTTTCAAAAAATGAATAAAAGAGATTTGTTTGTAAAATTTAAAATATGTTTATATTTTGATATATTTTAACTTTTTAAATAGTTTCATTTTCGATCCGGGAAGTTCTAGCAATTTGCCTTAAGTAAGGTGACCATATGTCCCGGTTTGGCCGGGACAGTCCCGGATTTCTATCTTGTGTCCCGGGTTTTTCTTAAAGCAAGTTATGTCCCGCAATTAGACCTTTTGTCCCGGATTGTCCCGATTTTTCGAAAATTTATAGGTCAATTAATAAAAGTTATAAATATGAATAAATGAGTGCTATTTTTTCCAAATTATTAAAAAAAATTGAATTTAAGACTTAAAAGCGAGAAAAACAGAAATAAAAATAGATAAAGATAAAGTATTGCTCATAATGCTAGTTTTGTTTTCTTGACGTCATTCTGAATCGATTGAGATCAAAATCGAAAAAAAAAATATTTTGTCGAGTTTTTCTTAAAAACCCCTTTGGTACTAATTTCTATGATTTTTAAATGCTAGTTTTATTTTTTCTTGACATCATTCTGAATCGTTTGATACCAAAATCGAAAAGAAATTATTTTGTCGAGGTTTTCTTAAAAACCCCTTTGGTACTAATTTCTATGATCTTTAAATACTAATTTTATTTTTTCTTGACGTCATTCTGAACCGCTTGAGTCCAAAATCGAAAAAAAAAATTGTCCATGTTTTCTTAAAAACCCCTTTGTTACTAATTTTTATGATCTTTAAATGCTAATTTTATGTTTTCTTGACGTCATTTTGAATCGTTTGAGACCAAAATTTAAAGAAATGTGTGAATCAAAATTTGAAATTTTGTCGACGTTTTTTAAAAACCTTTTTGGTACCTCTTAGGAGGCGTTCATTCATTAATCACGTGATCGATTTTTTTAAAGATTTTTGGACCCCCCCCCCTCCGCCTTGGCGATATTCAAAATTACTCACCCTCCCCCACTAAACATCACGTTCACAAAAATTGTAAAATTGTTGATTTTTTTTCAAAATGTTTAGATTTTAAAAAAAAAAATCAGAAAAAAATAAATACACGTGATATTTTAATATACCCTTCCTTCCCCCACGTGATATTTCGTGATTTTTGTCAAATTCTCTAAAAACCTCAAGTGAAATGGACGTCCCCTTAGGTACTAATTTTTATGATCTTTATAGATAATACAAGTAATTATGATTGTACTATGAAAAATAACAGAAATCGATGTACGTGTATTGGCTATCCATTTTAATGAATTTATTTAATTTAACTTGCATTTATATCGCTTGACATGGTCTCATACTTGGCTACGTTTTTTACCCAAAATTATTACAATAACACCATTTTTGAATTTCTATTACTATTTTAAAATACTATGACTTGTTCACGGATCAATTATCTGACTTTTCGATTTTTGTCAAATTTTGACACCGCATCGCGATTGGCGAATCCTCGATCTTTTGTTTTGTCAAACAAATTTCTTCTGACGTCAAAATGTAAAAGTTTACCATCGACTTTCAACAAATAACGATCTTCAGAACTTTGTAGGACATCAATTGAAGGAATATTGTCGAAAGATGAATATTAATTGGTTGTTTAGTATGAATACTAGTGGTACAACGTGGTATCAAGTTTAGAATACAATTTGAAGGATATTGGATAAGTGACAAAAGAACGGCGCAGGAACATTTTGGACATTTTGGACGAACATTGATCCCCGGAATACAGGCAAGTGGTGAAATTTAGTATTTTTAGTATATAAATATGTCGGTATTTGGGTTTATACAAAAACCGACATTTCAGAAAACCGGTTTTCGAATTTCAATTTTACCAAAAAACCGGTTTACGAATTTTATATAGAAAATAAATTTTTGCTCGAATATCCTGTAATTTATCCGTAAATTTAGTGTAATTTAGAGCAGTATTTGACTGAATTTATTTATTGTTCAATTTTATAGATAGTAAACGAAATTATTTTAATTTTAATTAGTAGAACTAAAAAATAATAGTTTATCTTGATTAAATAACTTTGAAAATAATTATTCGTTATTCATGCATCATTTTCACATATAAGAATGAAAATATTTTTATGATAGTGAAAGGAAAGTTTTCGAATAGATAAAAATAATACATTTTTAAATAACAAAAATTCATTAAATTAAAAAAAATAGATACATGTTGATACATAGTTGTTAATATCAATTTTAGTTTTCAAAACAATTAAGCTAATCTCAGGTATTGTCTGTTCCGAACAATTATAATTAATTAATTTTAAACATTCTAATTATTTCTTTGTTTAATAAAATATGATTTCAAGAAACTGAGAACATCTATCGAATTGCTACTTAGACGTGTCCTTTGTTTACTCACAAAAATTCCTGTAATAGAAAATACTCTTACACTTGCGACCAAATAATTCTAAATTCGAATAAAAATTCTAAGTTTTTTGTTCTTTAATTTGTGGCTTCTAGGGTTTAAAACTCTTTTTTTTAAGTTTGAGTAGAGCAAGTTACTTCTTCAAGAAGAAGTCACACGGATTTAAATTAATATATACACTGGTATAAAAATCTAAATTGATATATACAAAACCTTTCTGGGAACCATTGCAGACTGATAAGATATCAAATGCTATTGAACCGATATGATTTCAAGAATGAAAACGCTTTCATTTATCTTTTATATTTGGCTATATTTGTCATTTTCCATTTATACCGTGAAAACCGACTTTTTCCACTAAAAAACCGGTTTTCGAATTCCATAATTTTCGCTAAAAAACCGGTTTTCAAAACCAACAAACCCTAGTCGGTATGTCAATGTTGTAGTATCACGAAAAAATCAGAAAAATTTTACTCATTCATGACAGAAAAAATATTTAATCATTTTCTACAGAATGTTTAGGGTTACAACTTACCACCGATATCTCAAAAACAAGCAAAGTTAAGAATTTTTTAATAATAATATTTGAAAGTAGAGGGCAAATGATGTATAACCAGTCATCACCTTGATTCTTACGACGCCGCTATCAGGAGATATATGGCAATGTTTAAAAATCCATAACAAAAGTATTTTCTTCCGTTGTTAGTTTTTAGGTCGTGAGCACTGTCGTTTAGTTTACGAGACCTTAATATAACTTTTAAGTATACTTTATTTAATTGTTCTATAAGATGTATTGTTAATTTTAAGTTAGATTCAACAGTTTTTTTTCTCTTCTATCGTTTATTGACTATCATTTACCTTTACAGAATAGATCTACTCTTATTACCATTCCCAGCAGAGTCCTTCATACAAATTTCCATAGCTGAAGTGACTAATATACTCTAATAATGGCTGAAGAGAAAAAACCCAAAAAGGATGCGTCCTCGTTTATGAAGGATTTTTTAGCTGGCGGAATTTCGGCAGCTATATCAAAAACAGCTGTGGCTCCTATTGAAAGAGTCAAATTGCTGCTGCAGGTGCAGGCTGTTTCTAAACAGATCAGACCGGAGAATCAATATAAAGGCGAGTGGGAAATAATTATCGACACAAATATTTTTTATTGAAATTTGCAAAAAATGTAATTTCACGTGCGATCATTCGGGGTTTACAAAACCTAATTTTTTATTTATCTTTACGTTTCAAACTTTTCTGAACATTATTGCATACCTTAGAAAAGGGTGCGTGTGTGTGTGTGTGTGTGTGTGTGAACGGATACAAATTTTTATCGACCATTTCGGGAACAAGGTTCAACCGATTTCAATGAATGAAAATATTCGATTTGTATTGATAAAGAGACGTGCTGATTAGTTTTTGGCAAAGGCAGGTCTAGCCGTTTCGGAAATACGTGGCAAAAGGACCCAAAAATAGTAATTCAATTTTTGAGAGAACGGAACGTCCGATTTGAATAATTCAAAAAACACTTTATCGTACTCAAGGGGAGCTATGGGCTTATTGTAACACTTCTTTTTAAATCAATGTATCTTGAGATTAAATGATTATGTTACTGCGATATAAAAATATTTGAGAGTAGAGGGCAAAAGATGTATAACCAGACATCACCTTGAATTTCACGACGTTGTTATCTATATGACAAAGTTTGAAAATCCATAACAAAAGTATTTTCTTTCGCTGTTAGTTTTTTTGGTTTTGAGCACTATTGTTTAGTTTACGAGACCTTGATAAAATGTTTAGGTAATCGTTATTTAATTGTTTTATAAGATGTATTGTTACTTTTAAGTTAGATTCAACAAGATTTTTTATATAACTTCTATAAAAGCCTAATCGTGGATGGGGTAAAAATGACAATTTGAACCGTTACCCTAGCAAATACGTAAAGATACAAAATAGTGAATAAGAAAGGAAATTTGGTTAAAAAAGCAATTTTATAAATAGTTATTTCAACTTTGCTGATGTACATTTCTTACAAAACACCAGATCAAGGTTGTACACAGTGTTATTTCTGTAAAAAATGTACCCATGAAATTTATATTTTGCATTTGTTGAATAATGTAGCTATTATTACGCAAAATTCTTTTAAAATTAAAAATAAAATATTGGATCTGATTGGCCCTTGGCCGTTCCATTTTATCCCGCCCATGGGGTAAAAACGACTAGGTTACAAATTTATGAAAAACAGCAAATAAAACACATTTCTTCAACGATGAATTAGCTGGGAGTTTTACTGAACATAGTCAGATAGTCAACAAACAAACAATATAAAAAAAGATCGATCAATATTTAAAAAAATTAAACACTATAGCCAAATTTTACCAAAGCGTTAGGTTGCATTAAAAAGCTAATGAAATCATCTTATTTATAAATTTTTTCATGATAGTTACGATTAATACTATTCAGGCATGATGTTGAATTCTAGGACACCCTGTATAATGTGATGAGTCATAGGCTTTAAGTTTAAACCTGTACCGATGCTGCCGCATGAGACTAATGTTATGGCAAGTCTATGTTATGCAGAACTTTCCATACAAATTCGTTCTGAATATTGACAAAAAAGTGCGGTGCTGTGAAGTCAATCGTATTTTTCAGGTTGCCAGATAGAAAACCTAATCTAGAAACCGCACAAATGTCAAAAAATCTTAGATAACAGTGTGTTTCTGACTCAGGTTCATAACATGCTAGTGACGTTGCAGTTTATGTGTAAAACGCTTGAATGCACAGAAAATACATGACATTTTGACAGTATTCAGTATGATTTAGTAGCATAATGTATGGAAGTTGGAGCGTAACATGGCCTTGCTATAACATTTTTCTGTTATGCGGCAGAATTGGTTTCAAATTTTCAGTCTTCATTTAATCTGATTTTTTTCTCCCCCAGGTATAATCGACGCCTTCACCCGAATTCCTCGCGAGCAAGGTGTCCTGGCCCTGTGGAGAGGCAATTTGGCGAACGTCATTCGATATTTTCCAACTCAGGCCCTCAATTTCGCCTTCAAGGATGTTTACAAACAAATTTTCTTGGGAGGCGTCGACAAAAAGAAGCAGTTTTGGAGATTCTTTGCAGGAAGTTTGGCATCGGGCGGCGCCGCCGGGGCCACGGCTTTGGGATTCGTCTATCCTCTGGATTATGCGAGAACTAGGTAATAATGATAATAAAAAAAGTAGTTGAAAGTGGCATTTTGCTTTGAGGCAAGTTACTTGAACTTCCCGAAATGTGTAAATAATCGACTTAATCAATAAAAAATGCATTCATTTATGAGTTATTAAAAGTATTCTGAGTGGATTTATTACACATAATTGAAAACGAACGAACACGTTAACTTGGAGTATTTTCTAAAAGCAAATTTTCAAAAATCATAGATTTTTATAATTGAACTAGTTTCCGTAGGACTTTAATGGTTTAGTATGTTCATTAAGACCAAGTACTCTATCGTTATACCAAGTGCATCGTCTAATTTTAACTTTAACAAATGTCAAAAGAACTACTCATTTTCTCAAACTTTGATGAATTTTTCAAATTAAACTACTCGTCGCAAGGCCGTAATATTTCAGTAAGTTCTATAAGACCATGATATATATCGCCGATAAAAGTTCCATGAAAATTGGCTTAAATTTGTTTTCAACAGTTAATTACAAGAAAACGGCTCGGTAGATTTTCACCTAAAACTAATCAGTATCATTCCCAACTAATATCTTTCGAACAGTTTTTGATTTTTAAAATCCATTCGGTAGTATGAGGTGAAATGTAGACGAAAAGTTTAACACTTTTATTCAAATAACAAAGAAACGCCTCGGCCGATCGTCGCGCAATACTGATAAACGATAGTCCTCATTGATACACAACAAATGGCTTTTAAATTTTTGGAATCGGTACAGACGTTTTTGAGAAAACGTCGATTTAAGGTAAAACATCTGTTCACATACATACTTTTCCAAATTTGGTCTCATCCGACTCAGAACGGCTTGAAACGTCGAGAAAACACAAAATTAGCAAATCGGGTTTTTGTACTCGATCGTGTTCGTGAGGCTTTTTTGCAAAAGGCAGGTCTAGCTGTCGGGGGTATGGAGCGCAAAGGGTGTTAAAATGGTCATGCGGTTTTTGAGACAACGGATCATCCGATTAGATTAATTCAAAAAACATTTTGCTTCAGTGTGCAAAAAATGCTTTTTAAAAAATAAGAAATGTCGTAATTTTGAAAATTTTCAAAAAATTCAGAATTTTTCATCCTTTTCAAAAAAAAACTAAATTTCGAAAAATTTCAAAAAATATAATAATTTTAAAAAAATTATTTCTTACAAAAATTTGAGAATATTTCGAGAATTTCAAAAAAATTTAATATTAATAATTTCCAAATTCTCAAAAAAAAATTAAAAAAATATGTTTCTTCCAAAAATTTCAAAAAATTTCGAACTTCGAAAAAATTTCCAAACTTTGGTTTCTGAACATTTTGGCATACCTCATTTTCAGAAAAAAATGTGTGTATGTTTGGATACTATTTTTCGTCCACGATTCTGGGCGCACGAATCAACCGATTTGAATGATTCAAAAACCATTCGATTCCTATTGATGAGAAGACGTGTTGATTAGTTTTTGGTAAAGGCAGGTCCAGCCGTTTCGGAGATATGGGGCAAAAAGTGCAAAAAACGGTAATTCAATTTTTGAGAAAACGGAGTTTCCGATTTGAATGATCTAAAAAAACATTCAATTTGTAATGATTGTTCTTATATAAGAGATGATTAGTTTTTGGCAAAGACAGGTTCCGCCATTTGGAAGATACAGAGCTAAATGTGCACAAAATGGCAGTTTTTGAGTGAACTAAGCGTCCGATTTGAATGATCTAAAAAACTTTCTGCTTGTATTGACAAAACAATTGCTTTTGAGGATAAAAAATTATTACATCTTTTTTGATTTTTCATAGAATATATTTGTAATTTTGGATTAAAAATTCAAAATATTACCCAGGCTAAGCACAGTCTAAGCGCCACTCTGGTACAAATGTTTACTCAAGTGCGTGCACTGAAAACAACTATTGAAAAATGTGAAAATGCCGCCAAGCTAAGCACAGTATAAGTGAAAATGTCGCACAGAATTATTTGCAAATGCGTTTAGACTGTGACTATGCAAGCACTTTTTCAATTTTGTGCAAATTAGACAACTTAGGTATTTTTTTTAAATTGAATTCGAAATGAAATGACGATTGTTAATGTTCTAGAGATATATTGATTTATGATTTACATTTGATTTGCTCGGATATAACAGGATAGCAAAAAAAAAATGAAAGTTACAGTATTTGTAATAATATATTTGAAAACGTTTAAAATTTCTCGAATATTTCATTACGATAGGGGAAGTTCCAGCAATTTGCCTTAAGGCACGAATAATATAATTAATCCTTTAAATCTTTTCCCTCAGGTTGGGTGCCGACGTCGGCAGCGGCAAGAAGCGCGAGTACACCGGAATGGTCGATTGTATCGTGAAGACATTCAAATCCGATGGACTTTTCGGTCTCTATCGAGGCTTCGTGGTGTCTGTTCAGGGAATCATCATATATCGGGCAGCCTATTTCGGGTGCTACGACACGGCCAGGAGTCTTTTGCCGGACCCTAAGAACACGCCCTTGATCATTTCGTTTATGATTGCCCAGGCCGTCACCACCCTTGCTGGTAGATGATAGATAATAGACTTATGAAAATAATAATAGACTTAAAAACATTATAAGATTTGACTTGAAATTTATAAAAAAGATGGTAGATGGATTTTACTAATAGCATCCAGTGGGTTTGCACAATAGTTGCCAACTAGGAGATATTTTTTAAGCAACCATTTTTTTTATAGGGTGCGCCATCAATATGTGGTCAATGGAAAAAGCGAAGTTTTATTTGCTTAATGAAGGGGGTCATTTGATAGATGTATAGTCTTACGAACTATATATTAACTATATAATTATTGACGTAGTCAAGATGTCAGGAGGACGCCATAGATGTTGTTTGTCGAACCAAATTGAAAAAAAATGTAAGGCTTTAAATTTGATAACAAACAAAAACTTCATCAAAATTCATTGAAAATTGTTCATGTTATTCAGCATTTTCCATTGACCACGTATAAATGGTTCATGTAAAAATACAGTGGGGCAGTATCATCATTGAGAATATACTTAAAAATTAGAAATTACACTTTTAAATAAAATAATAGTGATTCTCAATTAAATAAATCGGAGTTATTTTTCTTCTTTCTCGATGTCATCTATAGACGATACTCGTACACACAGGTCGTCAAGTGGAAGCGAACGGATTAATTTTAGTTTCACGCCAAACATTATTTACGTTTCTTAAGTAAATTATGTTCTTAAATACACCTAACATTATTTATGCTTCTAAAAAAAATATGTATCTAAATTTTGTTAGGATAAAATCTAATAACCAAAAAATTATGAGACTTCTCGATGGATATACTGCAGAGCTGTTTGTTGCTGTTGGAGAAAGGATTTTGATTTCTTCAAACTATTATTAAAATAAAATTTAGTAATTAACAATCATTTTCGCAATGAGTTGTGTACATATCATCAAAATGCATGCACATCATCAAACAAAATATTAATGATAACTTTTTGTTAAATATTTAGGAGCCTGGAGCCAAGACATCTTAGTGATATTTAAAAGCATTTCTAATCTAATATATAATTATTTATTTTTATTTTGTCGTTCATACAATATTACGTAATTTTTTTTAATAAAAATAATTATTAAATCGACAAAAATGCTAAAAAGTACACTTTTGACTCGTATAATTACCAAACTAATAAATAACTGTAAAGTTGTAAAAAGAATGCAGGGTGTCCCAGAACTCAACGTCAAGCCGAAACGTGGTGATAGTAACAAATTCATAAAAATCGTCAAACAAAAGTTTTTTAACACTTTATTACAAGAAAACAGCCCGGCCGATCTTTACCAAAAACTAATCAGCACAATTTCCAACTTTTTGAATTTTTTGGTTTTTGAATTTCCAAAATCGATTCAGAATTGCGGGCTAAAACGGGGACGGAATTTTTTTCGCTTTTCTGCGATTTACAAAGAAACAGCTTGGCTGATCGTCGCGCAGAATTTATTGAAGCTAGTCCTCATCGGGATACATCGAATGACTTTTAAATTTTTAAAATCGGTGTAGCCGTTTTTGAGAAAACGTCAATTTACGGTAAAAAATCTGTTCACACACACACATACTTCTTTCAAATTTGCTCCCAAACGATTCAGAATGGCTTGAAACGCCGAGAAAACATAAAATAAGCGATTCGTATTTTTTGATGAAAACATAAACTTCTTTTCGGAAAGTTAAAAAAATTTCATGTAGTTTCGAAAATATGTACTTTAACCACAATAACCGAAAAAAGGTTCAAGATTGACCAAGCCAAGCCGTAAGTTGTACTTAGAAGCTCATAAATTTCAAACTATGTGAAATAATTTTTTTTTAATTTTTTATGACAGTTCTGGGCACCCTGTCAAATCAAATGCATTATCTTAAAAATTTACAAAAAAGTGATCAAGTAACAATTTGCATCATTTTTGTCAAAAATATGTCTTGATTAATTACATTTATTAAACTTATTCATCAATCAGGCGTTTTACACATAAAACCTAACCTCCAAAACGCACAAAAATGCAACTTTGTGATGTCTCATTGATAACACATGCGTGAAGTTAGGTTTTGTGTGTGAATCGCCTAATCGCACAGCAAATACATAGATTTTTGTTACTATCAACTCATACGAATATAGACCTGAAGGATAAAGTTTCTATTTTATCCCAAAATTGGCCTCTTAATCTAATCAAATTTAAAAAAAAAAATATTATGTACTACTTAAAAAAATCTATTTTTGTAAATACTGATTTGAGAATTTGGTTTATGATATCACAAAATTGTCAAATAAGATATTTTGTAAAATTTTGGCAATTTGCATAATATTTCTTGGAACATCTGAAGCAACAAATAAAAGTCTACAAGGTAATGGGAAGCAGTCAACCTTTCTGGATCAAAAGGAAACAATGGAATATATTTATGCCTGGAAAAAAATTTAATGTAATATTTTACGAAGAATTTATTGTTTGCACCAATATTGCAATTTGATTTACCGAGAGGAGATTGTGGCTCTATTACCTTTGACTTTATTTATTCTTCTGTTGGAGATGCCAAGATGGATTTCTAAATTGTTTCCATTCCCAGGCCTGTTGTCATATCCCCTGGACACGGTCAGGAGGCGCATGATGATGCAATCTGGTCTAAAAGCCTCCGAAATGGTGTACAAAAACACTTTGGACTGCTGGGTCAAAATCTTCAAACAGGAAGGTCCCGCCGCCTTTTTCAAGGGCGCCTTCTCCAACGTGTTGAGAGGCGCCGGAGGTGCCATGGTGCTTGTACTTTACGACGAGATTAAAAACTTACTCTGATTTCTTCCGACGTTGTGATTCTAATAATTTTCTGGAAGTCATGTGGTCGATGGCTTCTTCTTTTCGAAGATATATATAAACTATACACAGTCTACATTTTTTTTTAACTTGGCATATAAATGACATGTACATTGTACGATTCGTTAATAAAACCAGCATCCATATCATTTTTGCGTTCATGAAATATTTAGTTTGTGGTTTTGATTGTTTTAAAACATTTCGTGTACATTTCGTTTATGGTCATGATGAGTGTTTGTTTTTTGATGGTATATGTGCACAACTCATTTTGGAAAAAAATCTTTGAAAAATTTTGTCTAAAGCGGTTTTATGCAATAGATTGTGTGAATGGTATCGGAATGTACACGAAAAGTTTTAGTTTAGATAATAATTTTAAGTCAACTTTCAGCTCTCGGTTACATTTTTTGGAACGCTATAAGAATTTCAGATGTATATTTTATTAACTTCTCGTAGGGTAAGTAATCTCAGAAAAAATCAAAAATTGAAATAAAAGGTCTTCTGAACATTTTGGCATACCTTACGTTAAAAAAAAATTGATATATGTGTGTGTATGTATGATATGTGCGGATACAATTTTTGCGTCAACGATTTCGGGAGCCACTAAACTAGTGGTGTATAGCCTTAGTAGTGTAATCAACTTTTTAGAACTTAAAAAAATAGATTTTTGAGGATTTTAAAATTTTTGAAAAAAAATTACCCTTTTGGACAATTTTAATTTTTATATACTTTGAAATATTTTGAAAATTTTGAACTTTTTTCTTAAAGCAATTGCGATACGTTATTTACTTAGAAACGAATTATAGAAGCGCGTAGGCGCCGGGTCGCGGTATATCGGTTAAACTTTAGTACGGAACCCATAGAAATGTAAACAAAATTCGTTCTTATTTTTAAAATATCTATAAAATAGGTGATGATTTGATGTGCATATGTCTAATGATAATTTTTGACCGCCAAATGGCATTTCTTTAACTTTTTTATTGAATCTCCAAAATCGCTAGACTTGCCTTTCCAAAAATTTCATCAGGTCTTCATTTCGTAGGTACAAATAAAATGATTTTTGAACTATTCAAATCGGACGCTCCGTTATCTCAAAAACTGAAATATCATTTTTGGCTCTTTTTGCGCCGTATCTCTGAAACGACTGGACCTGCCTTTGCCAAAAACGAATCAGCCCGTCTTCTTATCAATAGGAATCGAATGTTTTTTGAATTATTCAAATTTCGAACGGTGTTCCCGAAATTGTCGACGAAAAATTGTATTCACACATACATACTTATTACACGCACACACACATACATCAATTTTTTCTAAGGTATGCCAAAATATTCAGAAACCTTTGAAACGTAAAAATATATAAAAAATTTCATTTTCGATTTTTTGCGATTACTATAACTTACCCTACACGCCCTACAGGAAGTTAAAAATTAGTTGTGCATGGCAACGTGTCTTATGACAAATTGCTGGAACTTATATATTTATATGTATTATATATTTATAGTTTAAAATTTTGGAAAAACTAGATTGTTTTGAAAAATTTGAAAATATTTTTGGACATTTTGGCATTCCTAAGAAAAAATGAATAAAATGGTGTTTGTGTGTGTTCGGGTACAAATTGTTGTCGACGATTTCGGGAACACGGATCAACTGATTTAAATAATTAAAAATACTTGCGATTCGTATTGATGATTTGTTTCTGGCAAAGGCAGGTGCAGCCGATTTGGAGATTAAGAGTACAAAAAATGTCAGTTTTTGAGAAAATGGTGCATCAAAAATGAATTAATGAATGAATCAAAAAATATTTTTCTTGTATCCGAAAAAATCCGATTCGCTAATTTTATATTTTCTCGACGTTTCAAGCCATTCTGAATCGAATGAGACCAAATTTGGTAAAAATATGAGTGTATGTGTCTTGTGGTTGTGGAGACACAAAATTTTTTTTTGTTGATCAATTATGATTTTTACGATTTATTATTTTTGATTCATTTACAAATATAATTATTGGTAAATATGTAAGCAGAGGTACAGGTATACAGGCCAACAGAAAAAGAAGAATAATAGACTAATAACAGAACAATACCACTTACAACTAGTTACTCTAATTTTTAACTTCAGGTAATAATTATAAATGAAGTACATTTGTGTTCAATGAAAAATGATGAAAAAAAAATCGTAGACTAAATATTGTATATAAATAAACAAATATTTTAATTAAGCTAATGCAAGAAACTCAAAACAAATAGCGATTAAAATAAAATATGCAAAAACTTGTTACTTTTTTGATAAATTCTACGCAAATAAAGTTGCATGTACAACTAGTTGTTAACTCTTTGATTACTATGTCAGTCATATGTGTCTGACGCAGAGAAATTCTATATATAATGTGTCAGATTTACATGTTCATACTAAGCGATTTTGTAGAAGGTGTTTGTAATGAAATTGTTTTTAATATCAAGTCATGTCAGTCATATAGGGGTGACATGAAAAATACAGCGTATTTTCGAGCAAGTTTTCTTGATACATTTTTCAACTGAATTATCTAATAAAGTTACCATGGCCTTTGTGAATTTTTTTCTGATATCGTACTAATTAACGTGTTAATAATATTTTTATATATAAATGTCTATTAATTTAAATAATATTTTTTATTTTTTATCCGATTTCGATCCTCCTAGGTACCATGGTCTATCCCTACGATACAGTCAGAAGAAGGATGATGATGAATTCTCCTACCAACCGGGTTTACAAGAATTCCTGGGACTGCGTCCAAAAAATCTACAACGAACACGGACTTCGCGGTTTTTACAAAGGGGGATTCACTAATTTCCTTTTAGCATTTGGAAATGCGTTCGTTTTAATCTCTTACGATAAGCTTAGATCGCTTCTAGATTAATGAATAGTAGTATAAATGATAATGATAATACAATTATTTATTTTTTAAGTATTTATTTTAATATATAGAAATATTTTCGCGGAATCGATTGGGAACCAAATTTTAAAAAAAAGTATAAGTTCTCAAAAACGGCTGAAACGATTTCAAAAATTTTAAAATCCTTTCGATGTATCTCGATGAGGACTATCGTTTGTTAGTTTTGCGTGACGATCGGACAAGCCGTTTCTATATAAATAGCAGAAAAGTAAATAAATTTTCGTCCACGTTTTAGCCCGCAATTCTGAACCAATTACGAAAATTCAAAAACCGTTCGAAAGATATTGATTGGGAATCGTGCTGATTAGTTTTTGGTAAAGATCGACCGGGCCGTTTTTTTCTAATGAAGTGTTAAAATTTTTTTTCCACGATTTTTATGATTTTTTTTGATGGTAGATAGCATAATCTTATAATATTATTGTATAGATCATACAAAAATATTGCGGCCCTAAGACAATTCGTTTAACTTCAAAAATTTGTCAAAGTTTGCAAAATTTGGTATCGTTTTTTTGGCGTTTGTCAAAATTAGACCTTTCATAGACGTTTTCTCAAAAACGCCTGAACCGATTTCAGAAATTTAAAAGCCATTTGATGTATTTTGATGAGGACTATCGTTTGTCAGTTTTGTGCGACGATCTGCCGAGTCGTTTCTTTGTAATTTGGAAAAAAGTGTTAAACTCTTCGTCCACATTTAAGCTCATACTACCGAACCGATTTTAAAAAATCAAAAACTGTTCGAAAGATACTAGTTGGGAATGATACTGATTAGTTTTAGGTGAAAATCTACCGAGCCGTTTTCTTGTAATTAACAGTTGAAAAAAAAAATTAAACCGATTTTCATGGAATTTTTTTTGGCGATATATATCATGATCTTATAGAACTTACTGAAATATTACGGCCTTACGACAAGTAATTTAATTTTAAAAATTCATCAAAGTTTGAGAAAATGAGTAGTTTTTTTGACCTTTGTTAAAATTTAAATTAGGCGATTTACTTGATATAACGATAGAGTACTTGTTCTTAATTAACATACTAAACTATTAAAGTCCTACAGAAACTGCTTCAATTATAAAAATTATTGATTTGTGAAAATTTGCTTCTAGAAAATACTCAGAGTTAACGTGATCGTTCGTTTTCAATAAAGTGTTACAAATTCACTCGGAATATTTTTAACCACTCATAAATTTTAATTTATTTTTTATTGAATAAGTCGATTATTTACACAAATTGGGAAGTTCATGTAACTTGCCTCAAGGCCAAATACGAATACTAACTTAGTTTCTTTTTTATATTTTTAAAACAATAATAAACTAGTTGGTTTGGTATTTAGCCTTGAGGCAAGTTACATGAACTTCCCGAAATGTGTAAATAATCGACTTAATCAAAAAAAATGTGTAAATAATATACTTCATTAATCCTACTTTAAAAAAAACGATAATAATTTTAGCAAACTTTGACGAATTTTTAAAATTAAACTACTTGTCGTTAGGCCGTAATATTACAGTAAGTTCTATAAGACCATGATGTATATCGCCAAAAAAATTTCCATGAAAATCGGCTTAAATTTTTTTTTCAACAGTTAATTACAAGAAAACGGCTCGGTAGATTTTCACCTAAAATTAATCAGTATCATTCCCAACTAATATCTTTCGAACAGTTTTCGATATTTTAAAATCGTTCGGTAGGATGAGCTTAAATGTGGACGAAAAGTTTTTTTCAAATTACAAAGAAACGGCTTGGCAGATCGTTGCACAAAATTGACAAACGATAGTCCTCACAGAAATACATCAAATGGCTTTTAAATTTCTAAAATCGGTTCAGGCGTTTTTGATAAAACGTCGATCAAAAGTCTAATTTTGACAAATGCCAAAAAGACCATACTGATTTTTGCAAACTTTGACGAATTTTTAAAGCTGAACCAGTTGTCGTAGGGCCGTAATATTTTAGCATGATCTAGAAGACTATGGTATCTACCGTCAAAAAAATAATCATGAAAATCGTCGAAATTTTTTTTTTTAAAACTTTATTACAAGAAAACGGCCCGGCCGATCTCTACCAAAAACTAATCAGCACGATTCCCAATCAATATCTTTCGAACGGTTTTTGAATTTTCTTAATCGGTTCAGAATTGCGGGCTAAAACGTGCACGAAATTTTTTTCACTTTTCTGCTATTTATAAAGAAACGTCTCGGCCGATCGTCCCACAAAACTGACAAACGATAGTCCTCGTCGAGATGCATCGAATGGCTTTTAAATTTTTGGAATCGGCCCAGCCGTTTTCGAGAAAACGTCGATTTACGGCAAAAAATCTGTTCACACGCACATACACACACACACACACACACACACACACACATACTTTTTCCAAATTTGGTCTCATTCGATTCAGAATGGCTTGAAACTTCGAGAAAACATAAAATTAGAGAATCGGATTTTTTTATGAAAACATAAACTTCTCCTTCGGGAAGTTAATAACTTATAAAAAAATGGAAAATATGTTTGACTTTTTATGGCATTTTAATATCGCATAAAATTCATGCCAGAATATCCCCTTAAGGCAATATGTCACTTAGTTAAATACAAGTTCGTTATGTATATACTTAATATGATATTTCCAACGGGATTTACAATAATAATTTATTATAACGCTTAAAATGCTAATGTCGTCCTTGTATCACAATTTTCAAACTCACGGCCGCCCATCCATCCATCCATCCATTCATATGACCGTCAATCATATACATATGTATATATTTAATGTGGGTAATTGTAATTTTATTAACACGATAATTAACACGTATCTTCTGTTTTACTACAATTAGAAATCAATATTTTCAAAACATGCGTCAGTAAGATAATTATTGAAACGAATTTCGTGCCATTATGTAAATAAATCAATTTGCACTGACTAAAGCAATTCCAAGTATTCAATTGTAGAGTTTTGGCGGAACGCGATTTTAAATATTATTTGAATAAATATTTAAATTTTTATATCTTCCTCTAAACTTGGGTAATATAAACATTTATATTGTCTCAAATTTAGTTTTAATTTTTAATGATACATTAAACATCTTGCAGAATTTTGTATAAATTAACTTCCCGAAGATTTATGTTTTTGCACAAAAATCCGATTTGCTAATTTTATGTTTTCTCGACGTTTCAAGCCATTCTGAATCGAATGAGACCAAATTTGGAAAAAGTATGTGTGTGTATGCATGTGTGTGTGCGTAACTAACTATTTTAACATACGCATTTATGCATATGTCTTCCTTGAATACAAACTGATTTATTATTATTAATCAGCTTTAAACGATAAGATTAATATAGAAAAAGATAACGTTACACAAATGTATATACTTATTGCTCGAATTTCGTGTCGTGCTCTACATATTTATAATTTCTACGAAATCTATTATGAACATGAATGTATATACTACAGTTTTTAGAAATATATCATGAATATATCATAAAAAAATATATATGGTTAAAATATTATAGATTTTTATATATAAATAAATTTTGTATAAAGTTATAGAGTTTTAAAAAAGTCACGACTATCTTAATCGAATAAAACTAATGATTAAATATATTTATTAATAATATTTATATTTATATATAAATATTTTTTATTTATTTATGAAATATTTATATAATTTTTAGATTTTTTTATGGCCGATGTAAAATACAACTATTATATATAGCACTATAATACATTTTGTATATTTATTATCAAGTTTTATTAAATATATGTTAGATTTTTTCGTTTACATTCAAAATATCAATTGATTTTGGAAAAGCATAGAGACCTAAACTGGCACCGCGTTTATAAACTAGCGCTGCAAGTGACATAACGTTAAAACAATATTTTAAGGATCGTTAAATAATTAGACAAATTATATAAACAAGATAATTTTGTATTTAATTTTTGATTGAATTATCATATTTTTATTGTGATTTTTTAATTTTATTTTTTATCATATATTTTCATATCGTACTAAAAACAAATGTATTTAATTTACAGATTTGCGTTTTGTGACTGTAGTTAAGTAGTTAATCATCGCTATTCCTCATAAAGCTTATTTTTTAATTTCCAATCTATATCGGGATTAGCTTGATAAAACTTGTTACTACTATATTTCATTGTTTTTAATATATACTTTGGGAGTAAACACAGAACAAATGTGCTTTGCCCTATTTTAGTGTTTACCGCAATCAACTGAGGGTTTTCTATTTTAAAATTCAACTCTTTAATGAACTTACTTTAAACGTTTTAATATAATATTTAAAATTTACGTGGTACAGTTGGTGGCGCCTCTAGGGAATCCGGAAACAATTAAAATCGAGGTAATGGCAAAGCAGAGCTGTGTTTGCGATATATTTATACTTTTTATCTATGATTATACTGTATAAAATAAAAAATAAAAATCGAAAATATTTTTTTATAAATCTTGTCGTTTCAAAGGTTTCTGAATACTTTGGCATACCTTTAGAAAAATGGACGCTTTATGTCGACGATTTTGGGAACACGGATCAACCGATTTGAATGATTCAAAAAACATTTGATTTCTATTGATAAAGAGTGCTGATTAGTTTTTGGCCAAAGCAGGTCCAGCCGTTTTGAAGATACTGGACAAAAAGTGTCAAAAATGGTAAGTCAGTTTTTGAAAGAACGGAGCGTCCGATTTCAATAATTCAGAAAACATTTCATTTGTATTGACGAAATGAAGAACTGATGAAGTTTTTGGAAAGGTCTATCGATTTTGGAGGTACAATAGAAAAGTAAAAAAATGCCATTTTAACAAAGTTTATCCTTTAAACTGCAACGCGACGCCTACGCGCTTTGATATTTTATCTCTAAAACACTTTTTTAAATACTGAATTTGCATATTACAACTTTTATTTTGAACGTATCATCTTACTACAAGATAATTTCCAAGAGCTGTTTTCAAAAAGCCCGCCACGGTGTCCCCTCTCCGTTCCGCTCTCTATGTCTTTATTACTTCTGCGAAATCCGCGTGAAGTATGACTAATATTATTAGTACAACGTTCAACAATTGGCTGTCAGATCCTGCATTGTGACAAGTGACAGTAAAATTACAATTAAATCGAAATTAATAGTACAATATGTTTGAAAAGATGAAGTAGCCCCAATTTATAATGCATTCAAGAAGGAGGTAGATAATATATTTGTTAAAAATTGCGTTTGTACATTTTTTACTGATAAATCGGATATCGAGAACATTGTGCGGAAATTTCACTTTTCACCGCCCTATTTACGCTAATAATTGTTTTATCTATTTTTAGTTTGTGATGTACTACGTGGAAATATATTGTTTAATGTTGTTATTAATTTGTGGAGGAAGTTTGTTTAAGGTTAATTAATAAGTAATTAACATCATGTGTTAAGACATCATACAAGGTTCAAACTGTCGTGGCGGAAAATTTGCACAAAGTTTTTTGCGCGTAAAGAATATTATTGTGTAACCGTTTATTTTGCTTGACAAATTAATATTAATTGTAAAATTGTGTAGGAAAAGATCAAGGAATGCAATTGGGTACTAAAATAAATAATAATGTTAAAATATTTACATTTTGTTATTTTATCTTATCAAACCATACTTCATATTGTTTTGTATTTATATATATTTATCTTTTTAATATAAAATAATTGACGTTGTACATATTTCTCTGAGCATGTTATTGCTTTTCTTATTTACATTAGATTATTTCTTAACAATTGTAAATTATATTGTTTTGCATAATATATTTATGTTGAATGAGATTACTTACTCATAATTTATTTATCAGGATTTATTTTAAATGACTATTAAGGTTTTGTAAATACATATTTTATTTTATACAAATAATGTCTAACGAATACTGAGTAATGTTTAGATGTAAACAAATTCTTCAAAATATTTTTGTATTCATACAAAATCAAAATTATATCTAAACTTTCAAGAATATTTTATTGCATTACTTTAAAAACCCTCATTGCAATCTTGTAATTTTTTTTTTTTCATTTTATTTATTAATTTTATTATCAAATTTATAATTTTGTTTTTGTAAGTACTTTAAAGTTTAACTGATGAAATTATTAATTTGTTTTTTATGATATCTAGGGAAGATGTCAGACGTTTATTTGAGTGCTGGTGTGAAGTGGAGCCTGGTGCTGCAGATCGACCAGCCTGGGTGAAGAGAAAATTTCCTGAAACTTATAAGGATGACGACTTACAATCTGTTCCAAAGTTTGCCTTTCCGTGTGAAATGGAAATGTGAGTTAATAATAATCTCTTATATTTAATCAAATTTTACAAAAAAAATGGAGTTGAATTATATTTTGATATTTACTAAAGGTATAATTTTTTTGCAGCACGGTAGTTCAACATTTCTCTTTTGTTTTAACTCGAATGGATGGAAAATGGACTTACGGTTTCTGTAGACATGATCCACAACAAACTACGGCTTTTGTTGTTTTAACATATCTGCCATGGCCCGATATATTTTTTAAGTAAGTAAAAATGTTATGCGTGTACTCTATTTAATAACTTACTACTTAGTAAAGTAGTTGTTTTCAAGAATTACATGTAACAAATTGGCATTATTTAGTAATTTTCTTATTAAAGTTATTTTTTTATCAAAGAAGTTTATTTTTAAATCAATCATTGTTTTCCAGATTTTTAAATTGTATAGCACAAGCATCTAGGACGCCTAATTTAAAAGACTTTTTAACATCTGCGTATTATCATCCTGTGCCAGATCCAGACCAAAACTTTGAACTGAAATATGAGAAAGGAGACGGTGTTAATGTAAGAGCACAAACATATATATCTTCTTATATATAAAATTATTCTGTACAGGTGTATGGTTTGATAATTCTACTAAACGGTTATTGGGATTTTGATAATTCTTTTTAGAGTTTGTCGAAGGAAATGTTTAAGATTTAATGAATGATAAAACTATAAAAATATTGTAGAAATCAATGGCAAAAATTACAAAATATAACTTATCATTGTTTGACTTTGAAATATTTGAACTGTCATCTACTATAAATGTAAATTCACTTGAAATTTTAATTTAGCTGAAATTATGAGCCTAGATAATATTTGAATATAATATACGAGAACAATGTAATATCTATGTTATTATTGCCGAAAAGCAGTTGTTATGTCCCAGAAATATGAATATAAAATACAGTATATGTTTGGCAGATGAAATTATATAAATCAGTTTAATACGTAAAGCAACAAGTTCAAAATTGCATCAAATAAGACATCAGATATTAAATTAGGATATTAAAAAGTATAGGATAGGATAGTAAAAAATTTGTAACTTTTGAATTGTAGATGTGGATACAGGACAACGTCTGTTGGGTCATCTAGTATATATATATATATATATATATATATATATATATATATATATATTTGCAAAATTTGCAGGTACCTAAAATTTACTGTTTTGTGATATTTCAGCCCTTTGCCTTCCAAGTACCCAATCCTCGAGAATTGCCAAAGATACCAGAAAATGTAAGTTTACAATAATATTTTATTTATACTAATTATTAACTTCCCGCAGGCTAAGTTATGGTAATCGTTCAAAAATCGAAATTGATAATTTTTCCATATCTTCACGTTTTGAACGTTTCTGAACATTTTGGCATACCTCAGAAAAAATGGATGTGTGTGTGTTTATGTATGTATGTATGGATACAATTTTTTGTCTACGTTTTCGGGCGCACGGATCAACCGATTTGAATAATTCAAAAAACATTCGATTCGTATTGATAAGGAGACGTGCTGATTAGTTTTAGGCCAAGGCAGGTCTAGCCGTTTCAAAGATACTGAGCAAAAAGTGCAAAAAATGGCAGGTTCTGAGAGAACAAATCGGTCGATTTAAATGTTTCAAAAAACATTCGATTCGTATTGATGTGGAGACACGTTAGTAGATAAGAAAGTCAAAACTGATCGGGTTCGAATCCCACATCTGTAATATTTTTTTTTTAACATTTTTTGTGCTTTTTATGTTTTTATAGTTTAAAATTATTAACTCAGTGCATATTATATTTCATGAACGAAAAATTGATGCAATTGAAATTGAATATATTCATTCTAACAGTATGTCCGCTTAATTAGATTTTGTTTATATATATTTTATTCAAATATATATATTTGAATATATATATATATATATATATATGTATATATATATATATATATATATATATATATATATATATATAAACAACGTCGTCTAATCTAATAAGTTTTCACATTTTGTCTACAAGGAACAAATAATGAAAATTCTAGTTTTTATAATATTTATTCATAGACATGTTTTATTTTATGATTATTTTTATTGTTCGAATGTTTAATTACGGTATGGGAAGTTCCAGCAATTTGCCTTAAGGTACAATGCTATGCATGACTAGTTTCACTTATATTTATTGCTCTTTAAGTAAGTAAGTAATGATTATGAATATATATTTATCAATTTTATTTTTTCAGAGGAACCTCACAGAATATTATTCTGCAATGGACTCTGACTGCATGTTACACGTCCTTGCAGCGATGCTAACAGAAAGGCGAATAATATTTTCTTCAAAAAACTTAGGAAGACTATCATGTTGTGTTCAGGCAGCCAACACACTCATCTATCCAATGGTGTGGCAACAATTATTTATACCGGTGCTGCCGATTCAATTAATAGACTACTTACAAGCACCCATGCCTTTTTTAATTGGTGTGCCTGATCCTGTATTGAAAACAGTCAGAACTTCAGATTTGGGCGAAGTTGTAATAATAAACATTGATGATAATACTGTCAAAACACCGTTTGATGATTTGGCTCAAATGCCACAGGAAGTTGTTGATCAGTTGAAGAAGTCTTTGAAAAATAGGCCGTCATTACTAGGAGATGGTGTTGCTAGAGCATTTTTAAGAGCAATAGTGCAATTAACAAAGGGTTATCGGGATGCTATGGAGTTCAGAGAGAAAATTGTTTTTAATGGAGATTTATTTGTGGAGTCACGACCACAGAGTTATAGGCCGTTTATTAGGAGTATGCTGAGGTTGCAGACATTTCAACAAGTAAGAGATAAATAATATTTTATTTTGGAGTATGAAACTTTCACATAACAAATTTCTCTTTTTTGCACTAATTGTAGATTTTCTGTTTCAAACAATTTTTTTTATTAAGTTATTGTAATGGGCCGAAAATCGAAATTGAAAATTTTTACATTTCTCGACGTTTTGAAGGTTTCTGAACGTTTTGGCATACCTCAGAAAAAATGGATTGGTGTGTGGTGTGTGTGTGTGTGTGTGTGTGTGTGTGTGTATGTATGTAAGGATACAAATTTCCAGTCACGTTTTCGGGCGCACGGATCAACCGATTTGAATGGTTCAAAGAACATTCGATTCCTATTGTAAGGAAAAGAGCTGATTAGTTTTTGGCGAAGGCAGGTCCAGTCGTTTCGGAGCAAAGAGTGCAGAAAATAGAAATCGACTTTTTGAGAGAACGGAGTATCCGATTTGAATGATCTAAAAAACATTCAATTTAGTAATGATTGGGAAAAGTGTGTATTAGTTTTTGGCAAAGGCAGGCCCAGCCATTTCGAAGATACGGAGCTAAATATGTAAAAAATGGCAGTTTTTGAGAGAACTAAGCGTCCGATTTAAATGATACAAAGAACTTTCTGCTTGTCTTAACAAAATAATTGATTTTGGAAAAAAAAATTGTATTTTTTTTTTTTTTAGTTTTTTTTGTATATCTAAAATAATTCAGATTTTATTTTTATTCTGACTATAGTTCTAATATAACTTAAACAAATAATTAACTTCCCCTAGGGCAAGTTATAGTAATCGCAAAAAAATCGAAAATGAAAATTTTTATATATCTTTACGTTTCAGAGGTTTCTGAATATTTTGGCATACTTTAGAAAATATGGATGTATGTGTGTGTGTGTGTGTGTGTGTTTGCGTGTATGTATGTGTGTGCGGATACAAATTTTCGTCGACGATTTCAAGAACACGGATTAACCGATTTGAATAATTCAAAAAACATTCGATTGGTATTGATAAGGAGACGTGCTGATTAGTTTTTGGCGAAGGCAGGTCTAGCCATTCCGTTAACATTTTCAAAAATGTTAATCGTTTTAAGTTAAGTTATGTTTAAGTTTTAAGTTCCAGCAATTTGCTTTAAGGCACGATGCCCTAATTGCCTTAAGACAGAATTCCACTTACAGCTAGTTTCAACTTTGCAATTCAGTTTATATAATTCTTATAAATATTAGACAATGTTACAATATTTATAATAATCTATTTGAAAACATTCAGTATTCCTCGAACATTTTGTTACGGTACAGTAAGTTCCAGCAATTTGCCTTAAGGCACGATGCCACCCACCCCACTAGTTTTGTTTAATATCCTAATAATGCACTATTTATTATTTAATACATTTTGTTCAAATGTGCTTTATAATATTTTATATGTATGATATTATAATATCTATATCATTTTTTTTTTCTTTTTTCTTTTAGTTCATTGAAGATCGTCTACACATGCTTAATTCAGGAACATCATCATCAGATGAGTTTGAAAATGAGTTAGCCGTTAGCTCAGAGCATGCAAATAATAGGTTCAAACAGCAATATAAAGAATGGACTCGACAGATGAGAAAAGAAGGTTCCGCTTTTATTAGAACTGTAAAAGATAAGGTGAGTTTAATATTAAGATCATTAACGTTTTAAGAGAAATTTATTGAGTGAAAATCACATAACTAACAAGCATTTAAAATAATTATTACAGTTATATCTATTTTAGTTTTTTTTTTTTGTGAAACCTTGATTGATATTTTGAATTCAAAGTTTTCCAAATTATATTCTACTAATTAAAATGATTTTAATAGTTAATATCAAAACAACTTATTTTAGGTCATACTATAATGTATAATTCCTTGATAATTTATTTCATTAAGAAAAATTAGTTTATTCTCTTATATTGTTTGTCATTAAAAATTAATTTAAATTATTTAAGCAAAGTTTCTTAATCATTGATTAAAAGTAAGATTAAAATGTTGTATTTAGAATTTTACATAACATTTAATAAATAGTATTGGCTGGCAATATTTAAGATATATTACATGAAATCTTCAACTGGATAAATTAATTATAAAAAAGTAGAGATAATTAACATTCTAGATATGTCAGCATTCATTAACATTCGTAGTTTGTTTGCTAAATTTATGTTACAGCTTTTGTAATTATTTTAGCAGGGAGATTAATTTTTTGCTATAATGTGGGAGTGTACAGTGTGAATTTGTCTTTGCTTTATTAATCAATTAAATTGTATTTTTAATACAATACTGTTTTTGTTATAATTTAGTTTTCTATAAAGTTAGATTGATCATTTAAGAATTTGACTGTAAATTAATACATACAACGATATTGCGTGACACACAATTAACTTTCATATAAAATATATATCCTGTATATAAGCTTCTCAGACATAATTAGTCAGAGCTTCTAGTATTGATTTTACAAGTTTAAGTGATATTTCAGTATACCCATATTACATCAAAAATATATTATATTTTGTCTTAAAAAGGTTTGACAAATTACATTCAAAGAAATGTTTGAATTTTTTCGGGTTTGTTTTCGATATTTGCGTAATATATTATAGATCATTTCTCATTAACTGTTTTTTGTTTCGTTTTATTGTGAGTGATATCTTTCTTTTCAATAATTTCTTATTCTCGGATATTCTCATACCTAGCTTTCCTATAGTGATATTTTTGTTATAATCATTAATAATTTAGTTCAGTTTTGAAACCATTGGATACACATTCCTAGCTTTAGTAATTCATGTAGTTTTCATATGTGTTTCGCTTAGTTTTACATGCTTGATTTGAATTTCAGACCAATCCTGCTGTTAAATCTGCCGTCAAATCTGTAAGTACTAGAAAAAGCATTTTTCATTTAGCTTGGAATTTTGTAACATTAGCATTAACATTTAGTATTTGATAATTGTATTAGTACCACATATGTAGATTGCTAGTATATTAGTATATTATTAATTGCTTTAAGAATTTAGTATTATCATGCAACATTTTTACTTTCTCAAAAAAAATATATTGGCGTTGTTTAGAATTATTTTTGTAAACCAAATAATTGTTGTTTTATGTATTTAGTAGCTTCTGTTTTGTTGTAGATAAATAGATCACTATATAAAAAATAGTTTGTTCATACAAAATTCAAGAATTTGAATAATGTTGTTAAATTTAAGTTAATATATAATTTAAGTTATAAAGCTTTAAAGTTTTCTTATGGACCAGTCTTGTGTGTTTTTTTTTGTAGTTAGAATCTATATAGCAAAAAATATTTAATTACATATTTTTCAAGAAAAAAAAAATAGAAGCATGTGAGTTGATAATATGTGATACTTTCGATATTGTAGTAGCTTAAATTCACACGATAGAAGCAAATGATAGCAAACTGAAGATTTACAATTCTTTATATATGTATATATTTGAATATATACATATAAATACACATGAATGTGCACGTTAGATGTTCTTACATATAAAAGTATATAACATACCATTCCTCAAATAAATTGGATTCACTGTAATAAAAAAGATAGAAATACGAGATTATTGGGTAATCAACTACATTAAACTACAAACTTATAAACTTATAATTAAATTGTTTTTATCATTTTTGTATTTTATGTCTTTGCAACGAATTTGATGTTATATACTTTTATTATATATATGTATGTCATAAATTTTTAAATTATGTTTCTATTAAAGGTTCGAGATGGTGGCAAAGGCGTAAGATCTGCTTACAAAGGTCTAAGATCGAGGTTTCGTGAAAACGTTACAACGACCGATGGTGGTCTTACAGTGTATAGTGCTCCTAGAAATGGTCTTCGATCTGCACCAGACTCACCTTCCTCATCTCGAAGACCAAAATCATATGCTATACCATCAAGGTAAGCCAAACAATATTTACTTTCATTTATAATAATCTCATACTATGTATTAACGAACAGTAATTTTGTGATAAAACTGACCATTTAGCTGAAAATCGGGAACAATTATTATAATTCTTCTTTAATATAAGTCTTATAAATATTAGACGATGTTCTAGTATTTATAATAATCTATTTGAAAACATTTGATATACCTCGAACAAGCTATAAGTCTTCGATCTCACTTTACATCATAATACAAATTATTCATTATCTTTATTTCAAAATTTATTTATTTTTTTTAATTTTACACAGTTCGTGCGAGAAGGCGTTAGTGGTTCCAAAAGGACATAGTAAGAATTTTCAAAAATCGATATTGTGCGCTAACAAATTATTTAGAAATAGTATTTAATGAAATATATAATACTAATTTGACTAATATAAATATGTTCTTTTAATTAAATCCCACCTAGTTCCAGAAAAAGCTTAATGTTTTAGTAAAGAGTTGAGCTTATATGTGAAATCTATATAAATTATGCTAAATTTGTCATTCGATCATGATAGGCAATAACAAATCATGGTTAAGGATGTGTTAAAATTGTTTTTCTATTTTTGTGCTTTTACAAATCTGTCGATGACTATTTATTTCCTTGATCAATTTTCCACATCTACATCAATTTGTTAAACCATTCGCATAATTGTTGAGTATGTCTAAACAAAGTATAGTATATCTAGTCTAACACTTATCATCATAGATGTTTTTATGTGTATTTCAGGACTTACAGAAAGGAAAACTCAGCATATAATCTTTCGAATTCATATGTTGACAGTAGTCCCACAGTAAGTCCACAGTCTCCTCTGCAATCTCACATAGTCGGACCTGAAATAGATCTGATGAAAGAGTTACAGAATCACCATTTGTTCCAAAACTTGCCAATTGTAGATAGAACGGTAAGATGAATTCATTTTGTTACTAATTTATATGTTGTGGCCTGTTGTACCAAGAGATATGCAGCTTTGGATGTGAAAATTAGATGTTTCATTGTTTATAATAGCTAAAGCAGCATAACTTAATATTCATGTTGGTGCGATTGGTCTTGAATAAAGATTTTTGATAGATCATACCTGTATCAACTCAAATTCACATTGTTTTTTTTTTTTAAGTAATGATCATACTAAGGTATTACATTAAACCTACTTTAAAATCTATATAAAATTAATTTTGGTACTTTAGACAAACATATTTATTTTATTTTAAGAATCAAATAAATAATTGCGGTAGATTACTTTCCATAAACATTTATAGTAAATGGAGAGAAAAAAGGGTGTAACCTCTGATATTTTTTACTGTGCTCCAATTTGAATGAAATTTTGGAAATATGCTAATCTTACCCTCAAATTCAAAAGTGCAAACAATTAGCACGTTGCCACCACCCCCAGGGGATTTATAATTTTATGTATAAATTGAAATTGAGCCATTTCGTCGCTAGAAAATGAGTTTAATATTAAAGGATAAAGTTGTAAAGTATTTTCTAATACATTTACCTTGCAATAAAAATATTTTCAGTTCTTTCAAAACTTTTGCGAACAACCTTTGAGTTAAAAAAACACTTAAAAATATATTTTGGTATGGCAAAAATGCGATTAGTTTTTGGGTCATAACTCCTTTAATTTCGACTCCATCACTATTTGTAATATACCATTTGAAAGGTAATTAAAAGGGCTACAATATTGTTTATCATAATTTTTTTATTTTTTTAAAACTGTGTAGGGGTTAAAGTACTCGAATGAGGCTTTGATTGCGCAGCCGTGCACTCTTTCTTAATCATAACTCTGCCAATTTTTTATGTGAAAGAAAAATAATAAGAAAACAATGATAAACCATATTTTGGGTTGGATTGAAAAAAATATTTTTGTAAAATCGTGAGTTTTCTGAAAATGGTTTGTACTAAAGTAGTGAATCTGCTAGAATCCATCAAGATCTTTATTATGAAGTTAATTCTAGATGGAATTTTGATTTTGGTTGCGCGAAAATCGTTGAAATTGCGCTCATTTTTTTATATTTAAATGAAAATCATTGTATGTGCCTCTTAAACGACTTTGCTCTTTCATATCTAGCTCAATATTGTTCCTAGAACATCTTATAAAACACCAAATTATTAAAATTTTAATTGACATAGTTTTGTTCATTACATGATTTTCGATAAAATGTGTATTTTTGGAGATATTTGCAAGAAAAACGCCTAAAATATATGAATTTTTATTAGCCAGTAACTTAAAAAGTATTTGTTTGTTTAAAAAAAAACTTTATAAAATATTTTTTACTTGTGGTGGTGGAGTCCAAATTGTTTTCACTTTTAATCTTAAGGGTAAGATGAACCTAATTCCAAAATTTTATGCGAATCGGAGCACAGTAAAAAAATTCAGACCCAAAGCGCTTCATTGACTGGAGTATTATGAGTTAATACTGGTTTAATCTACATCTGCATAGTATAATAAAAATATAATTTAGATTTTGGAAGTGATAACACAATTTTTGTGTATATAATAATATTAAATACTTTGTCTGAAGTTTTAAAATTACAATCAGCAAAAAAAAATTGAGTTCTCTATTTGATTCAACAGTACATTGAATATTTAATATTACAATTGTGCTTAAATTCTACAAAGCCAAAACAAAATATTTTATTTTCCTTCCATAGAAATTAATATACCAAAAATTGTGCAATCATTTTCCTTTTTTCTTAGAAAAGTCGTTTAGAAAAAAAAAATCTTAGACGATTAGAGTAGAACAGATGAAATAGATTCTAGTTATTGAATATTAGATCATAGTTTTGTTCGTAGATGTTGCATATCATACTTTTAGACTGTCTTTATTTTTTTTCTAAAAATTCAAATACATACTATAATCAATCGTACAATACTTTGAATGACCAGTCTAATTGTTCTATAGTTTTTTGTCATCATAGTTTATTATAAATAGTTGACTTGATTTAATTTAAAATTCATAGATGTGATGGAATTTGTAAAAATACTTTTGTGAAAATATTGTAAGTCGTATGTAAATTTTTACAACTATTATATATTTAAGAAACAGCTTTAATTTACAAACTTTGGGAGAAAATGTCGAACGAAGTAAGATTTACTCATTCATTTTTTAAGAATAATCATAAAATCCCATTTAATTTCAAACATATTTTGTACTTCTCTTCAAACATTTTTTTCAATTGATGAACAATTTCTTCATATGTCATTCCTATTAGATTCGTATCATATTCAGTTTATTCACACAATATTCCTATTAGATTCTTATCACATTCAGCTTATTTTGTTTAAAAATATTTTTATTCCAAAGCCGATATATATCATGCGAAATCCATTTTCCCAAAACAAGTTTCAATTATCATGTTTACAAATTCCATCACATTTTTATTAGATAATAATTAGAATACAATCAATTCAATTAATAGGAATTGGTTCAATTTTAGTTTTTTAAATATTAGGCTTATTGTTTGTTTATCTATGTTATAACACGAAGTGTACTGCCTAACAGTCATACCTTTTCATATTGTAAAGATTTTGATTCTTACACACATTTTTATAAATTATTTATTAAAATGTGTTTTGTTTCAATTTCTTTGCAATAATAAGTTTCATCACATAAATGCTTTTTGGCAAATCTGATGTTCAAGTACTGCATTTTTATAAAAAAAAATGTTTCTAAGTTAACTGTGTATTTTGGTTCAGAATTTAAAACGAATCGATATTTTTTATTTTTTCGAAGTTTAATATTACAAGTATATATTTACAAGAGGATTTTTTGAAATTTAAAAAATTTTCGTAGATATAGCTGTTTGACCAAGTTTCTTTTCTATTTTTCTGGAAACATTTTTTGGACACGATACCCACGATTTCTCGACTTCCACTGTACCGATCTTACTTAAAAATTTTACAGAATTTTATTTTTTATATTCTTCTCATCAGTATGAATTACGCTCATCACCAATTTCGGATTTTTACTGTTTTTTTTTAAACGAGAATATCAAAATTGTAAAAAAAAATTTTTATACAGTAGCTATTTTGAGAACAAACATTTTTTAATTTGGTTATGGACAGATACCAATATTTTGAGATTCCCCTCTTCTAGAATTAAATGTGTCTGATTATTTTTATTCAGTCAGGATAAATATTGTTTTAAAGCATTGTTTAATTTAGATGATGCGTTATAAATATACATTTTGTTCTGTAAAATACTACTGAATTTATCTTTAAAAAATCCTTCTAGACTTTGGTCTTGTTTCTTTTTTTATATAATAGTTATTTACTATTTTACAATTCGCAATTTTACAATTTAAGGGGCCAATTCTCGGATAATATAGGTAAAAGTGTAAATTTTATAAAGTGTCAAAAGATATAAGGGGACTGTGACGTCACTTAGTGAACGAGAATTGCCGACAATTGTCGAACACTCCCGATTGATTAAATGTCATATGTCACGTGCTTATTTGTTAAGTACGTGACATATGACCATTAACCATTGACCATTTTAAAAATATAATTAAATTACCTGATAGTGTGTTATATTTTAATTATAATCAATAAATAAAAAAAAATTAAAAATAAAAAATAAAAAAAAAATGAAAAAAAGACGAAAAAAATAAAAAGAAAAAAATAAATAAAGAAGCAAAAAGATTAAAAAAAAAATAAAATATATGAAAAAAAAATAGAAAAAATGAAAAAAAAAAATAGTAAGAAAAAGGAAAAATAAAAAATAAGAAAAAAATCAGAAGCAGAAGGATATGCTTTATTGCCAGTATATATTTTTCTTATTTTTTATTTTCTTTTATTTATTTTTTTTTCTTTCTATTTTTTTATTTTTTTTTCAGTTTTTGATTTTTTATTTTTTCTATTTTTTATTTTGATTTTTTTCAGCTCGATTTGTATAAACAATATTAAATATTATATATTATAATATATTATATATTATATACTATACATCATAATAGTTAAACCAATCCAAATGTTATTTGTAATAGTTTCATTTCATATGACATGACATTTAATCAGCCGGGAGTGTCCACGATTGTCGGCATCACTCGTTCACCTAGTGACGTTCTATCTTTTGGCACTTATTTTGCGCTCGACTATTAGTCCGAGTCTATGTAGTGTAAGGTCTATGGTTGATACATAAACATCATTATAATCATTATAATTTATATACAAGCGACTATAATTTTCAAAAAATTATTGAATCTGGTTTACTTGATCTCTATCGAATAATGTTTCAAATAATCTTTTCGAAGTACTTGAATTCATCAGATTTGTCTAAAAGCGGCTGTTGGTGATTGATCTTTCTAAATTAAGATACATCCACACACACGCCTTGCCCATCATAGTTTTTTTTATATGTGTACACGTGTAGTTGAAACCTCCGCACGCAACAAGTCGCCCTCAACTAGAAGCGCACACATTGCCAAGGGATGGCCCTTATTACCCAGACCTCCAACTCTCCCAAGAAGTTCCCATCGGAACTTTGTGCTATTTCGATACTCCTCCTAGTTCCAATCGATCATCCTTCGATTCTGTCCAATTTCATTCCACCAGAGACAGTTCGTCATATTCATCCTGCAATCCAGCCGATCTGTCGTTTGGTGACGAGAAAGATTTTATGAAAACTCCTCCAAAGACTGCTCCTGATTCGAATCAGAATCCTTTCGAAACCAATAAAGTGACTGCTCTGGTTCCTGCATTTGGAATTAGTAACATGTTTAATAGTGTTGGTTCCAATCATTTTCCGATCACGTCCAACCAATTCTCGTCATCTACTCCTAACAAAGCAAATATTTGCAATAATCCTAAATCCATAGAAAATATACCTCCGCCTCCAATTGTTCCTCCTAGACCAAGTGCCAAGGTCGGAAAAGGCGGGATAGACGTTTTAGAAAATTCGCAACGTCTAAGGACTTATAAAAATGTTAAGGTAGGTGGATGTTGTTTGACACATTTGCATTTTAAAAGCATTTTGCAATCAGGTTTAATCGATAAAGATTTTCGGTAATCCAATTGAAGAATTTGTTTTAGTTATACTAAAAGAACAATAGAAATACAGTGGTACCCCGACGTATGGGTTATTCTTTTACAAATCTTACGAATTTTTGAAAAAATAAAATGTCACATTTTAGAATTGTCTGAATTTTTTTTTACAGATATTATACATAAAATCATTTGACACGTGTTTCAGGATTTTGCTGAAAAAAATTTTTTTACTTAAATATTTACGATTGAAATATGGATTTTTTGCTCAATTTCTATGAACATCATCTGCAGTAAATTAATTATCTCCGGATGTGCTGATCGGATCACATTACACTCATATTGAAGTGAACTTTGTAATGATTAAATTTTTTGAAGTAAAACTTCTTTAGGCGCGATATGGGTGTAAAAATTTTTAGGCGCGACACGGGTGTAAATCCGTACAAATGCAACGAAAATGCCAACGTGTAGTTGAACACTACGACGCCGTAAGCGCTGATGTCGCGAGTCGCGATCCACTCCCGTCATGTCATGCGTAAGTCGAGCGCTAAACCCTATATGAACTTGCAATAATTGAATCACGTTTTTTATGTTATGTCCTCATGAAATAAGACTTTTCTTAGAGAATAAATGTGTCATGGAATATAATAAATTTATATTGAATCTCGTTGAAGACAAAATAATATCTACTGCCACGGATATTTATGTAGGTTGCCATGCGACAGATCAACAATCATACATTCGTCAGCAGTTTCAAAAAAATCGGTTATTGATACCGGGGCTTTGCCGTATGAAATAATTTTAGTTCTGAATAAATTTTACATAATAACAACTAATATTGATGTAAGTGATGGCTTAGCTAATGGTTGTGTAGGAAAATTAGTGTACATAGAACGTGGCGATGATGATGAACTTCTACGTTTATGGTTTGAATTTCCCGGTAAGATAGGTAACAAAATTAGGAAGAAAGCTTCACATCATATTCAAACTCTTGATATCAGTAGGACAGCTGTGCCGATGCTCAGGAGATCTTATTATTATTGATGTTATATGATTATTAAAAGATGATTTTTAAAATTCAAATATGATGTTTTTTTTATTTTTATCTTAATTGCCTACTCATACAATATTAAAAGTTTTACTTCAATCGCGTGTGATCCTTACGCGCACTCTTTTTTTTGTTTTTGCAATTTTCTTAACAATAACAACCCTTAAATATTTACAAAGATTTTACTCAGCCTTACCCCAACTTGAATCGATCCAAAAAAAACACATTTTTTCTTTTTTTCTCTGCAACAAAATTCTTTTTACAATTTGTTGGAGACTTTGTTACATCGAAAGATATTAAATATTTTCAAGCGCGAGCCGCGCTTTTCACGTCGGGGACCTCAAAGACTTGTACTCATTTGCCACTTTCGAATGACAATCTTATTGTTTTTCGGCTGAAAAATATTTTATAATTTCGCTTTTGGCGAAAAATGAATAGGCGAAATATCCCTACTTTTAAATATTGTTGTTAAAAAATTTCTAACTTTACTTGTTTTGAGATATTGGCAGTGAATCTTTTTACCCACGAACTTTTAAGCTCCACTCTCCCTTAATTTTTTTTTCGACTATATATTCATTTAAAGCTGCTCGAACCTTGAATTTTCCTCATATGTCGAAGCAACGAATTGCTTCTTTGGCTTGTATCTCGAAACACTCGCATGTTGGGTCACTCGTAAGTTGAGGTAACCTAATTTCTCAAATGTCTTCATTGGTAATTATTTAGATACATCGACCAAAATGTTAGGAACAAAACAAAAGTTGAATGCACTTACCTTATACAGAAATAGAGCAAACAGTACATTTTTTGCCAATATTAATTGGAAATCAAAAAATCATTATTTTGCTAAACAATCTCCAAAGGTAATAATTTTTTATCTAGTCTTATAACAAAAACGCTTCAAATTTTTTTATCAATTTCAAAACGTGGATTACCGAAAATCTTAAATTCTAAATGTGCTTTTTAGTTGAAAGTCATCATGCTTTTTCTGTAGTAGTTGAGTGTAGTTTTTTAGAAAAACATTTGCACTTGAATTTCCATATTGATTAAAAAACTAATCCCTGTTTAAAAAAAAATGTTTATACTAATTTAATTCTAGATTTTTTTTCTTTACTATTGATTTTGTAGCCAAAAAGTATTAACAGCAACACTCTGTATAAATATTTTCTTATATACAAGGTGTCTCAGAACTCAACGTGTGGAAAAAAAATTTATTTTACGTATTTTGTAAATTCTGAGTTTTTAAGCGCTTTGGCGAAAATGTGATAATTTTTCGGTTCATGATGGTTAATTTTTATTAATTTTGTTTATTTAAACTTTGAATCTGTGACCATAAAAACATTTCTAGGACCATAGTACAAAATAATGACACAATTGCTTCAAGTTTTCAAGAATTAAGACTTTGTTCAAACTATCATTTTAAACTTTTCAAAATTTGTCTATTTTGAGAGGTCCTCTTTAAAAAAAAAAATGGTACTAAATTGTGTTGACAAGTTCCATCAAAAGTTAAAGGTAAAATGCTAAAATACTTGTAGTCCAGTCATTATAGTAAGTTCATCTCGGAACTCGGAATACCCAGCTGTAAGTCTGTGAATACCCTAAAATAGCACCATAAAAGTTGTCTCAAAACTTAGATATGGCCGGATGTACGTATCATATGTAGGTTTTGGGACAACTTTTAGTGTGCTATTTTAGGGTATTTACAAACTTACAGCTGGGTATCTCAAATTCTGAGATTCTTACCTAATTTAAGCTTAAATGATTGGACTATTGATAGTTTCATAACAAAAAAAAAATCGGACAAAAAAATAATATCCTAAAATGGTAAACGAAAACGTTGTATGATAACTTACTTAATTTTCTCCGTTGTTGGCTACAAAATCAATCTATCTTCTAACTCCCAGTTTTTTTTCTTCAGAGATCAATTCCTAAATTACAATTTTTGTCCACAGAAACCTCCGGACGTCGGCGGAGATCTCATTCGTTTAGATTCTACACCTGATTTGCAGGATTTTGATCCTCTGAGTTCCAATTCTTCCAATAACAACCTAACCCAAATCCAAAATTCAAATTCAGGTAGTCTATCAAATCCTATTTATAACTTATATTGTCCTCCAAATTTAAATGGAACCGGAAACAAATTAAATCCATCAGAAACAACGGGCATCAAGTTTAGTCAATCGGCATCAAATATTCCCAATGGATTCGGCGGGAGCCCTAATAAGCAGATTGATAGTTCCAAAAATGATCTGGCTCTTTTACAAGAGTATGGCTTAGATTTTTCAAAATTCAGCATATGTAACAAGAACGTAGTAAGTACAAATTTACAATCTAATGGCACTAATAAACATTGGACTACTTTTGATTAAAATAGGAATAGGAAAATTATATCAGTAGCGAATAGCTCTCTGAAAATGATTTTGTGATTGGTTCCTAAAGTAAACAAAGTGAGTATTTGCATATTAGTATAATAGTACAAAAACAGACCACTACGGGCACACAGTTGGCAAATAGTAATAAATAGATACAAGTAATGATATTTTGAGATGATAATAAAACCTAAAAAATTTGTAGGGTCCTATATTACTCATATTTTGGGACGATAACATAACGTTGTTATGGTAATGCTATCTAATCCTTCTTTCTTGGTACTAAAACTAAGAAAATGTCTATCTATTTGCTTACATTGGGGACAATTCTGCCGTAACAGAGCTCATAAAATAGCGTTGTCATGGCAACGCTCTTATGCTTTTTCTTGGTATTGAAAATTATGAAAATGTCTATCTATTTGCCGTGCGATCAGGCGTATTTTACATATAAACAAGCAAGGAAGAATGTTATGATAACAATCTACGACGATGCAGTTATCATATTCTTGGTTCGTTGTTTTTCTTGGTTTGATTACTGAATGATAACACACATCAAGTGTCAAAACGTTTAATGGAATAAATAATTTTGTTATTTAATCTTTTTTTAATTCGACAGTTGGGCTGCAAAAATATTACAATATGTATTAACGTCGACAAAACTATCATCATATATATATATATATATATATATATATATATATATATATATATATATATATATATATATATGTTAAAGTAGTTAATTTTGATGTTGAGAAATATGAGTAAGTTCTTCAAGGGCATACATCAAATAAAAGGCTTTTTCCTTTCCTTTTATTTGATGTATGCCCTTGAAGAACTTACTCATATATATATATATATATATATATATATATATATATATATATATATATATCGTAATTTTTAAGCTCAGCAATTTTTGTACAAAATTAATTTTAGTACCAAGATTATGAGAAAACTATGTTCTATCTATATCATTTGATTAAAATCAAATTTGTAAATATATATTCAATATTGTATTCGTATTTATAATAAACAAATATTTTGTAATCTGATTGCATATATTATGTCAATTTTTATTCTTACGCAAGCCAAAATATTCGCAAAAAAGTGTACAAATCTGCAATATGCAATCAGATTCAATATTTTGTTTGATCATATTTATTGATATGTTTAGGTAAATTTAAATTCAATTATTAGATTAATATTTATCATGTTACATTAATGGCAATTTTGCCCATTTTACCGTATAAATACATATATACTTATACATATATAAGTATATATAACAAAAATTATTAACAATTCATTTTTACATATATAACTAATTGAAAATATTCATTAAATTTGCTGCAACCCTATGATTTTATTATTGAATGTCGAAACATGCTCAATATAGTTATAAAAAATGTGGTTTTTAATTGATAAGACCTCTAAAACCTTACATTACTTATTATTAGTATTAGATTAATTAAATTTGTTATTACTTATAATTGTTTAGTTAAATATCATTGTCATCCTACATTTGTAAATCATATAGCGGGTAAAAAACATGATAATCTGTGATATATAAAAGAGGAGATTGATGAACAAAAATATATGGAATTCGATTTTTTTAAACATTTTAACTTGAGGTATAATAAGCACTATATTAGTCATATAGATATTGTATAGCACTAATTAAATATTATATATACATATATGAAATGTCACAGCAAATATATGGAAAAGTCTGTATTATCAGTCTTTGTATGAATCGAGTTGTTTATTTATTTTTGTCAGTATCAGTGTGTAATATAATTATTTTATTTTTTAGGAGGAATGAATCATATATGAAGATAGAAAATTTTTATATATATTTATATGTATATATATTTCAGCCAAATTGTGGAAATAAATTTTTGTTTAATGCTCATTGGGTGAACGCTTGTGCAATTTACATACGTGCACGGACTACCAGGATTTTGCTTTACCAGGTATTTATCATTATACATATACATATATATATATATATATATATAATATATATGTAATATACATTATATTTTTGAATTTAAAAGTCAGGCGTTATATCAATAAAAATAGTATGAGAGTTTTTAGAAATTTATTTAAAATCCATATGTTTCGACTAGCATCTGTGCCTTCATTCTGTGGCAATCAATATAACTATAAAAGTTAAAATTAAATAAATAAATAAATGAACTTACAATTTTGTATCTTAATATAACAGATGAAAACATTATTACTACATGATATGAGTATGTGCACAGTGGTAATATATGTTTTTTTTTTAACATCACAAATGGTAAAACACACAAATAAACATGAATAACTTTTAATAAGTTGTCGAAACTATGTATTATTGGCTTTTCGAAGTCTAAGATAGAAATGTCACATTTTTCTTAAAGCAGTTCTTAACAAATGTTAAATTTTTACGAGAAATTTAAAAAGCGATGGGATGTTGTCATTTTTTAAGAAATTTTAACACGCTATTTAGGAACCCCGTGTTTGTTTCGTTCAGGGCTGTGTTGTCAAATCGTTTGTTTATGACCCTGTCGTTACGCAATTGCAAAAACAACCCCTCAGCGAATCTTCTTTTAATTACGTTCTCTTCAAAATGTAAAATTTTTGGTTGGAAAAACCTATATTATGATTTAAATAATTTATATGCTCGGTTAACATATTAATTTACTACGTTTCCAAGCCAACAGTTATATACACCCTGATATAAAAGTTTGGAATAAAACGACTTTGAATTCGATCTTTCATATTCCTTAGCATTTAATAGAAAATTCTAGACATTTTTTTGGTTTTTGTCAAATATCTCACAAATATCATATGAAAGCATCCCTTTTCAGTTAGATAGGAGAGAAACTAGATAAAATTTACTACGATTCCATGCCAACAGTTATATACACTCCGATATAAAAGTTTGGAATAAAACGACTTTGAATTTGATCTTTCATATTCCTTAGCATTTAATAGACAATTCGGGGCATTTTTTTGGTTTTTGTCAAATATCTCACAAATATCATATGAAAGCACCCCTTTTCAGTTAGATAGGGAGAAACTAGATAAAATTTACTACGATTCCATGCCAACAGTTATATACACCCCGATATAAAATTTTGAATTTGGTTTTGAATTGTTTGGGTTTTTTTTGAGTTATTTTTATGTTGATGAAGACGTTCACTCAGGTTTTGGCTAGTTTCTCCGATATAAAAAAGTTCACAATTAGAGCAATTAATCTGATATACCAAATTCCTGAGGTGGTCAGAAATAAACTCAGATATAATTTGTGTAAAAATGGAACTAAGGGTTGTATCGCAATTACACACTAACAAAAGGCCACATTTTCTCGACGAAAAATAGAAATATTTTAAATACGGTAAACACCAGTATATGACTCCAAGTCTAAACGGTTTTTATGGTCGGTGAGGTCCTGTTGTTTGTTAAAAAGGTAGTTGCGTCTGTTATTTATTACTGATTTAATTATGTTTGTAGGGCAAGAGTTATTTAAGACAACTTATTAAAAGTTATTCATGTTTATTTGTGATGTTAAAAAATATATATATATATATATATTACCTCTGTGCACATACTCATACCATGGAGTAATAATGTTTCCATCATTTATATTAGGATACAAAATTGTAAGTGTTTTTTATTATTATTGTTTCTATGAAATCTCTTACACATTATTTATTTAGTTTTAATTTTTGTAGTTGTATTGATGGCTGCTGAATGAAGGCAAAGATGCTAAAAACTCGCATACTAATTTTTTTATGTAACCTCTGGCTTTTAAACTCAAATAAAATAAATATTATATCAACATCAATATATATATATATAAATAAATTTAATTTAAACAATAATAAAATTTTAACAATTTTATTTGTGTGCCAAAATGTTATAAAAGCGAACAAATGCATTATTTATTATATTATAAAATATATAACATTATTTAACAAATATATGAGCATGATTATATATAATACATAATGTATGTGGTAATAATTTAATAGATTGGGAAATAATGCAATCACAGAAAATTAAATACAAATAAATATAATGAGTCTAAAAAATTCGTCTAATTTGTGTATATAAATTGTTCTTGATCATTGCATATTTTTCAACGTTTCTTTAGCCAAAGATAATCTCTGGAATTCAGATTCCATTTGTTCAAGTCTCTCAGCATTAGCATCGCGAACCTCTTGAGGAACTTTTGTTGTGTAATCACCAGCCGACATAGCTTTTCTTAATTTGTCCACAGACTAAAAACAAAACATTTATTACAATTATAAATTTCCAATATAAGACAATTCTAGTTATTAAACTTACCGCTGTCAGATCTTTCTGCTTTTTCTCCATCTTGCTCAACTCTTTCTCAGGTTCAATTAATCCTTTCAACAGCAAATGAATTTCACAATGTCCGGTTAGAGTCAGGATTGCACAACCTGGTGGTGGGGTACTCGTTATTTGGACTTCTGAGCAGAACGACATTGTACCTAGAGGCTGATTGTACCTTTGGAAGACCTCACTTATAACTGGATCTGAACTTACAATGTATGCTGGAAAAATCACATAGATAAGTAGTAATAAATCTAATATTACCAAATTAATAGGTTGTCAAATATCTCCCTTCCGCCTTTTTGTATTATAAACCAAGAGCAAAAAAGCGGAAGGGAGATATTTGACAACCTTGTGTTATTATTATTATTTATATTGTGTTGTTATTATTATTTTAATATATTTAGTATACCTTGTGTTTTAACTTTGTTTGGTAGTGTGTAATCACTTCTTGCAGAACGAATAATCTTTGCAGCCTTCTGCACTAATTCTACATCCTTTTCAGATTGCTCATCACGCCAACAGCATTTTTCCACTTCCGGATACTCTGCAACACAAATACTTGGAACTGAAACATCAGCTCTAGGCAATCTCTGGTACAATTCTTCTGTTAAAAATGGCATAAATGGAGATAGCAGCCTTAACCCGACTTCTAAACAAGTGTACAAAGTTTTCTTTGCAGCAGCAATTGCAGTGGTATCACCGGATTGGAAAATTGGTTTCAAGCATTCCAGGTAAACATCACATAAATCATACAACCATAAATTGTAACAAGCTGTTGTAGCAACTGCAAATTCATATTTTTCAAAACCGTTGTTACAAGCTTCGACTGCATATGCAAGTCTGGATAAAATCCATTTATCCATAACACTCTCATTTCCTGATAAATCTTTGGAGCAAACCTCGTGTTTTTCATCACTTGTGAAATAGGTCATTGCAAATTTGGTGGCATTCCACAATTTGTTACAGAAAAATCTGTATCCTTGTACACGAAGAATATCTAAGTTAATATCTCTACCTTGTAGTACGTAAGAACATAAAGCAAATCTCATTGCATCAACACCACATTCAGGTATACCGTTTGGATAGTCTCTCTTTTGACCAGCTTTGGCTTTCTCAATTTCCTTGGGATCTAAATTCGATCCTTCCAAAGTTTTGTGCAAATCTTCCAAGCTTATTCCAGTTATAACATCCATGGGATCAATAACATTTCCCAAAGATTTAGACATTTTTCTACCATGGGCATCCCTTACCATTGGATGAAGATAAACTTCTTTGAACGGCAATTTTCCTAGTAAAGTTTGCCCAAAGAACACCATCCTGGCCACCCAGAAGAACAAAATATCGTGCCCTGTCTCAAGTAAAGTTCCTGGATAGAAGAGTTTCATATCTTCTGTATCATCAGGCCATCCAAAAACAGAAAATGGGAACAACCCAGAGCTAAACCAAGTATCCAAAACATCTTCATCTTGTTGCAATTCCACATTACTGGCATCAGTATTGAATCTCTTTGTTGCGGTCTCCAAAGCTTCAGCTTCTGAGCACGCTATGACCCAAAAGTCTTCAGTCTTGTGTCCTTTTCTGCATAAACCATCTTTTAAAGTCACATGATAAGCAGGAATTCTATGACCCCACCAAAGTTGTCGAGAAACACACCAATCTCTGATTCCATCCATCCAATGGTACCAAGTTTTCTCATGATGTTCGGGAATGATTTTTAGTTCACCGGACTTTACTACTTGTACGGCATTCTTTGCAAGCTCATCACATTTTACATACCTAGAGGTACAATTAAAAAATATATTAGGGATTGAAGTAGCCTGTAAAGTTATTTTATAGTTATACTTACCATTGTGGTTTGATTAAAGGTTCAACCACATCCTTAGATCTACTGCACATCGGCACAACCATAGCATGATCCTTGTCTCCTCTGTACAGTCCCATTTCTTCTAAAGCTTTAGTGACAGCTTTTCTAGCTTCAAAGCGTTTCATTCCTGTAAACTGTCCATATTCTCCTATAATAACTCCATCGTCATTGAATATTGTATTAAAAGGCAAATTATGACGCAGGCCAACTTCATAATCATTAGGGTCATGAGCCGGTGTTATTTTCACAGCACCTGAAAATTTTTAATAGTCAGCTTACTAGTATTAAATTATAAGAAAAAGTATAATACCTGTTCCAAATTCAATTTCAACAAAATCATCACACACAATTGGCAGTGGTTGTTTGGTAAACGGGTGCATAACTTGCTTTCCATGCAAATGAGTGTATCGTGGATCTTTAGGATGTACAGCAACTGCAGAATCGCCCAGCATTGTTTCTATTCTTGTAGTACTCACTATAATTTCATCATCAGTACCTACAACCTTGTAAGCAAATGAAGCCAGAACACCAAATTCGACTTTCTCCTTATAACCTAAAAAATAGAAGTGACTCAATGATTTGAATTTAATAAATGTTATACAAATCATTTATATTATTATTACCTGGTATGCACAATGGTGTCCTTCCTGTTAATTCAACTTTATCAACTTCAATATCAGAAATGGCTGATCTAAGTGTGCACGACCAGTTGACTAATCTACTGCTTCTGTATATCAATCCCATGTTGTACATTCTCACAAATGCTTCATTGACAGCTTTACATAACTTAGGATCCATTGTAAAACTTACACGGTCCCAATCATAGGAAGAACCGAGTTTTCTGAGCTGGTGGTAAATTCTATCTCCCTTCCTGGAAAAGGGAAATAGAAATAATATTATATATTAGAGATAACAATCGCACATCAACTTCTTATTAGTGAATTTATAACAGACCAATGTTATGGCAAGGCCATGTTATGCTCCAACTTGCATACATTATTCTAATGAATTATACTGAATACTGTCAAAATGTAATGTATTTGCTGTGCATTCAGATGTTTTACACATAACCTCCAACGTCACTTGTATGTTATGAAGCTAGTTCAGAAAGACCCTGTTATATAAGATCGTTTTTTTGACATTTGTGTGGTTTTTAGGTTAGGTTTTCTATCTGACAACTTGAGAAAAACGCCTGGCTGCACAGCAACCACATGGCCACAATATTTAGTATTAACATAGCCTTGCCATAACATTGGTCTGTTAAATGTCTGAATCGGTCCACCACATGACTTTTGTCAATATTTAGTATGGAAAGTTCTTCATAACAGCCTTGCCATCTTACTGGTCCATTACTTACTGGTTCTTCCATTCCCAGATCTTGTCAACAAATTTTTCTCTGCCTAAATCGTGTCGAGTCAACTTTTGTTCTCTCCATAATTGTTTTTCAACAACTACTTGTGTTGCAATTCCTGCATGGTCACAACCTGGCACCCATAAAGTAGTACGACCCTTCATTCTATGCCTAAGAAAATGCTAGATATTAACAAGCAGTCTTCTTTATTATAATATGATAAAAAATTTGATTTTGAGATAAAGAGCTACTTAGTAATATTAAAATACAAGTGATCAATTTTTTCCTACCATCTAGTTATAGCATCCTCGATAGCATTAGTTAGGGCATGACCCAAATGAAGTGATCCTGTTACATTTGGTGGAGGAATGACCATTACAAAACTTCCTTTTGGATTCGGTTTTGATAGATCTCTCTAAAAGAAAAAAATATAATTAATATATTTAAATTTGAATTTTATATTAATCATGCAATATATGGATGCAATCTTCTAAATATATTATATACAATATTCTTTCAAATTTCATCAGAATAGCTGAAGTAAATGAATGCTATTTAAATTGATGAAAGATTTTTTTTAAAGGATTATTTATGTATGGGTACAGTACAGAAAGCATTATTTATATAAAAATCAAAACAAATGGCAATAAAATTGTTTTGCTGATCCAGCAAAATTGAAGATAATTTTATTTTGCCGATGTAAACTATTTGCTGACCCAGATATATAGAATACTTTTTACATACTTCATACAATATATAAATTTCCATTTTTTTTTAATGTATGATAAGTAAAATATCTCACCCCATATTCGGGTTTGAAAAATCCTTGTTTCTCCCACCAACCGTACCAGGCAGCTTCAACGTATCCGGGACTGTATGAATCTGGCATAGCACCAGAGACATCTTTCTTCTCTCCCGGAGCTGTATTTGCTTTATATACAGGCACTTCTTTGACCTCTTTAATTTTTTTCTGAAAATAGTAGCAACAATCAGAAAACTTTTTTAATCATAACCTCAAAATATTTTTGTCTCAGTTGATGAAGAGAGATATGGACAATTATGTAGCAAATACAGTAAAAATCAATTAAAATATATATATTTTAAACCCCTGTATGAAACTTATGCAAGAACATATATATAAGTATTATTGAGCAAGTGTATTATAAAAATAGTTCAGCACTAAATAATTGCACAAATTTAGTAACAACCAGATTTGTGCAGGACAAAATTGAAACTTGTGCAGGAACATAAATATAAGTATATGTCAAACATATTAACTGTATCTTTTTCATTCTTACATCTGGTTTCTCTTTAGGTTGTGCAGGAGCAGCATTTTTCTTCTCCAATTTCTGCTTCAATTTCTCTAATTTCGCCGCCTTTTCCGCTTCCTTTTTTAGTTGTTTTTCAGTTTTAACAGGCGGTTCGCCCACACCATTCTGTTCGGCAGTCTTAGCATCTGACATTTTAAGAAATATTACCGAAATCTTTTATTAACAGATGTTGTAAGACTCTGAGTACAACGTGTACACCGTACACTCACTGACGCAATATAGTACAACAATGAGAAATAGAGAGGATTAATATTTTAGATTGATTGCTTGCAGCATATGCCAATTATGTTAGTAGAGAATGAAACCTGTGGTTTTTTAGGTTAGAAAGGTATTCTGACATGTGATGTAATGCCGCGTCTCCACTGTTACGAATCCGTGCGGCGAATGGTGCGTCTCGAACAAATTTGCGCAGCGGAGTGATACTGTGCGAACGCACGAATTTCCTTCAAATTTGTCCATAGCGAACTTTTTTCTTCTTTTTTGTTTGAAAATGGGAGGGGGGGTTTATTTCTAGAATTACGTACCCTGCCGAACATGGTCGAAGCGACACGAAAATTTCAATAGCTTGCGTTCGCGGCGCTCGCTCCCGCCGCGAGCAACCCGACGCATCGGGCTGCCGAGAATACCCGAACCGACACTAATGGATTAGCGTCAAAGCGCGGATCAAAAATGTAAATAAGTAAGCAGTCATTAAAATTGATGTACTAATTATAATTTTATCTAACTATTAGTATAGGAAATACATCGGTAATTAAGTTATAGATATGTTGAAATATATGTATATCCAACTAAAATATATTTTGGTAGACTTTATTTATCATATTTCAGAGTTAATTTTATATCATCATAATATTATCATGTATATATATATATATATATATATATATATATATATATACTCTTACTACTTATATGACGTATCATATATTTATTATTCAAAATAAATTAAATGTTTCAAAAAAAAAAAAAAATGGTAATATTGTATTATTTGCAATTACGCTAAATATCATTTAAAATCTTATTAATATGCAGACTGAATTTTTGCTCAAAGTCTTTTCTGACAAGTATTTATATTTAGAACAGAAGTAATAATTTTTATTCAAAACTGATAATTGTTGGTCAGCCTGCCTCTGTATCCGTATACGTTATTTCTTTGAACTTGTAACTTGAATTTGAACGTAAACGTTGATCTGTGCTACGGTATAAGTTCAATTGTACAGTGAAGGCATTGAGATATTTCATCTTATCCTCAATTTTGAAAATGGATATGCGTAGAGAAGATGTTATACTTCTTTACACTTCTTATAATTGAACTGTATCAAGAAAAAAAATATTATGGAATCCTAAAAATTTCAAATGTATCAAATTGCTCGCAGTGTGCGTCGCGCACAAGAGCCAACGCATGCGTGCGTCGCGAACAGGATTCGCCGCACGGATTCGTGCAGTGGGGCGCAGCATATTAATGCTGCGTCCCCACTGCACGAATCCGTGCGGCGAATCCTGTTCGCGACGCACGCATGCGTTGGCTCTTGTGCGCGACGCACACTGCGAGCAATTTGATACATTTGAAATTTTTAGGATTCCATAATATTTTTTTTCTTGATACAGTTCAATTATAAGAAGTGTAAAGAAGTATAACATCTTCTCTACGCATATCCATTTTCAAAATTGAGGATAAGATAAAATATCTCAATGCCTTCACTGTACAATTGAACTTATACCGTAGCACAGATCAACGTTTACGTTCAAATTCAAGTTACAAGTTCAAAGAAATAACGTATACGGATACAGAGGCAGGCTGACCAACAATTATCAGTTTTGAATAAAAATTATTACTTCTGTTCTAAATATAAATACTTGTCAGAAAAGACTTTGAGCAAAAATTCAGTCTGCATATTAATAAGATTTTAAATGATATTTAGCGTAATTGCAAATAATACAATATTACCATTTTTTTTTTTTTTTTGAAACATTTAATTTATTTTGAATAATAAATATATGATACGTCATATAAGTAGTAAGAGTATATATATATATATATATATATATATATATATATATATATATATATACATGATAATATTATGATGATATAAAATTAACTCTGAAATATGATAAATAAAGTCTACCAAAATATATTTTAGTTGGATATACATATATTTCAACATATCTATAACTTAATTACCGATGTATTTCCTATACTAATAGTTAGATAAAATTATAATTAGTACATCAATTTTAATGACTGCTTACTTATTTACATTTTTGATCCGCGCTTTGACGCTAATCCATTAGTGTCGGTTCGGGTATTCTCGGCAGCCCGATGCGTCGGGTTGCTCGCGGCGGGAGCGAGCGCCGCGAACGCAAGCTATTGAAATTTTCGTGTCGCTTCGACCATGTTCGGCAGGGTACGTAATTCTAAAAATAAACACCCCCTCCCATTTTCAAACAAAAAATGAAGAAAAAAGTGCGCTATGGACATGCGCAGTGGACAAATTTAAAGGAAATTCGTGCGTTCGCACAGTATCACTCCGCTGCGCAAATTTGTTCGTGACGCACCATTCGCCGCACGGATTCGTAACAGTGGAGACGCGGCATAAGGTTTAACTTCAAACGACAAGATGTCGGTAGCCATTTTATAATAACGGTTTGAGCATCAGTGGTTCTCAAGTAACTGTTTGCAAAATTTTGAAATAGGAGAAAAAACTAAGATTGAACTAGTGGGGTGCATGGCATCGTGCCTTAAGGCAAATTGCTGGAACTTCTTGTATCAAATTTTATTTTTTTTTAAAAAGATTAACATTTTTGAAAAAAAAATACTCTGAAAAAATTAGATTTTTGAAAAAAAAATTATTTTGAAATATTTTGAAAATTCTGAACTTTTTTTCAAAGCAATCATACTGCTTTAACTGCATAGAGACAAAATATCGAAGCGCGTAAGCGCCGCGTCGCCGTCTAACGGGTAAACATTGGTACGGAACCCATAGGAATGTAAACAAAATTTATACTTATTGTTAAAATCTCTATAAAATATCTGTGCATATGTCTAATGATCATTTTTGACCGTCAAATGGCATTTTTTTTACTTTTTTTACTAGATCTCCGAAACCGCTAGACCTACCTTTATGAAAATTTGATCAGTTCTTCATCTTGTTAATACAAGTGAAATGTTTTTTGAATTATTCAAATCGGACGCTCCGTTCTCTTAAAAACTCAGTTACCGTTTTTGGCACTTTTTGCCCCGTATCTTCGGAACGGCTAGACCTGCCTTTGCCAAAAACTAATCAGCACGTCTCCTTATCAATACGAATCGAATGTTTTTTGAGTTATTCAAATCGCTTCATCCGTGTTCCCGAAATAGTCGACGAAAATTTGTATCCGCACACACACATACACACACATACATCCATTTTTTCTAAGGTATGCCAAAATGTTTAGAAGGTTTTGAAACGTAAAGATATATAAAAATTTTCATTTTCGATTTTTTTGCGATTACTATAACTTGCCCTAAGTGAAGTTAAAAATACATACTTATGGGGATATTATTTAAATACATAAACTGAGTAATAAAGTAAAATATGTATTACATGATTATTAAAACGAAGAAACTTTCAGTATGGTTTACCATTTTCCTTATCGATGGGTTAACCATAGGTGCAAGTTCTTTACAATTTTAAGTTGAATTTAAAAAGCCTTTCAGGTTGAGTTTAATAAATTAAATGCAATAAAAACAAGTTTCCTAATTCAGTATATACTCAATTGAATTAATAATTAAGTACATATTAATTTTTCAATTTATATGTTATAAAGTTACACCGGAAAAATGCACAAAATTAAAAATCATAAAATAGGTGAAAATCTGGCGCAAAATACTTGCTCACCTTACCAGAAAACATGACAGAAATCCTGTTACAAGAAATTCTGGCGTCGTGCCGCTTAAGTATAATTAAATTTATCTTAAGGTGCGTCCACACCTAACGAACGAACACGAACGAACATGTCGAACAAGAAAATACAAAATAGAACGAACAGGAACACGAACGAACGCAAAAAATTCCAAACAAACGACTCAAAGCAGTGAGGGTTTGAATCTTTTTGTTCGAGGATGTACCGTGAAACGTCAGACTTATTATTTAAAGTGGCGGGAAAGAGAAAAATTATTTAAAGTCATCAAATTTACAAAATTTGTCAATAACAGCAATATCTTATAATAAATACAACATAAATTAATGCATTAATGCACATTTTAACACCAAAAAAAAAAAGTTTGTCTACATTCGTGGTAGCGTCCACACTGCACATACGAGTTCAAACATGAACGAACAATTCCCTTTGATGTACCGACAAGTTGCGGAACATTGCTCGCCATGTTTGTTTATGTTTGTTCGTGATCGTCGTGGCGTCCACACTATGCTGTTGCCGTTCGTTCTGGTACGTTCTTTTATGTTCGTTCGTGTTCGTTCGTTAGGTGTGGACGCACCTTTACATACAGACGCATGTATATTTAATTTATTTAAAATATATCACTTCTAATTTCTAATTAATTTAATCATATTTGAATGAACAAGAGTTTATCAAGAAGCAAGGATTCTTATCAGATTGCATCATGAACTTTGTCACATGTAATCAAAGGACCCCCACGGCTTTAAAAGGTCAAAGTCATTCTGTATAATAAACTGTTATTGATATTGATATTTTTGAATAAGTTGCAAATTTATAATGATTACATAATTGTAATTGATTACTTTTTTATAGGGGGTAAAATATCATATTTTTGTACAAATTCGAATTTATAGATCTATAGGGTTGTTGGATAAGATCGAATTGTTGGTACAACTTTAAATTTATTGTTGATATTAATTTATATGTTATTAATAATTTATTACATAAATACCTACTAAATTTAAATATTATATAAAAGTTTTAAAATATTAAATGCATTACGGGAAATACAAAAATAATTGCGAAACCAACTATCAAATGAATCAAAAGACCAGTGACGTTTACTTAGATAAAACTTTCTTCAGATCCTGTATATTTGAACATATTCTTAACAATCAGATTTACTATAACTCAAACATGTGTTTATTTGAGTAACGATTTCGATTGCGATATTTATTTCTTAAATTGACTTTTGACATCCGATATGATAAGGAAAAAAATTATTAGATGTTGCCAAATATATGAACGACGAATGTATTTTTGAAAATTTAATTTCAAATTTATAAGTATTATTAACTTCGCATAGGGCAAGTTATAATAATCGCAAAAAAATCGAAAATAATTTTTTTTATATATCTTCACGTTTCAGAGGTTTCTGGACATTTTGGCATACCTTAAAAAAATGGATTTGTGTGTGAATGTGTGTGCGTTTGTGTTTGTGTATGGATACAAATTTTCGTCGACGATTTCAGGAACACGGATCAACCGATTTGAACAATTTAAAAAACATTCGATTTCAAATTCAAATGCAGGACTAGCCGTTTCGAAGATACGGGGCAAAAAGAGCCAAAATATCAAACAATTTAAAACAATCGATTTTTTCCAAAAAATCTAAAAATTTTCGAACTTTTAAAAAATTGTCAACATTTTGATTTTTTTTTGAAATTATCCAAAAAATCTAATTTAAAAAACGGAAATTTTCAGCAATTTGCCTTAAGACACGATGCCATACACCACCAGTTAAGTTTTTTTTCACAATTTTGAAACCATTTTACAGTTTACACATTTGTTTCAAATTGACATCTGGCAACATTGCACGTGCCGATTCGTTCCGATTTTATTTTTGACTTTTGTGACATTAGGTTAGAGTGAATATGGAAATATTTTAATAATATTACTGTACGGAATTTGCAGTGTGAGTGCCGTGCCATTTTAGTGTGAAAAGTATAAAAAATAAGAGAAAATGGTCGTTTGTAGAGTTATATCATTATCTTGTCGCCGTTTACATGCACCTGCCAAATTTTTGAACCCACTTTTGAATTCACAAAATCAATTGGCAAGGACGAGTATTAAATATATTTCTACATCACAGATTAACTTTGCAGGTAAATTATACGTAATTTGTTTACATAGATGACGTAGATGACATAGAATTAATTGATTTTGTCACAAATACATTAATGAAACTCACAGTGAATTATTAAATTTTTACAATATAACATTACAATATAATAATTTTTTCAATAAGAGTTATAATTTATTACAAATGAAAAATAAATGAAAAACATGCTTTCTGTTAATAATGCATTCATCTTTTACATTTTACAGATTGTTATCAACTGTTTTATGTGAAATCCTTAATATTCTTTTCAACTGTTCTAAATGAAATTCATAATTTCATACCAATTTAAAACAAATTTTTGATACAATGAAATACAATATCACAAAGTTTTTAAAATATTTTAAATATAACCAGGGTTGAAGTAGCATTCTAAAAATTATATAGTTTTCATTTCGAGAGCTGCATTTGTCAATGTATAATATTATAAAATATGAAAGTTGTGCAAAACTAAACAAATTACTATTTTTGTCTAATAATAATTTTCTAATAATTGCATTGACTGATTAAAACGAACAGTATTTTGAATTAATAAGTAAGTTGATTTTTATAAAATCAAGTAATTGTATGTTGACAGCGTGCAAAAGAAGTTGTGCCTTCTGCATTATAAAAGTAATGTCACAGCTTCAGTTTTATTGATCTTTGAAATAATACTTTGAATCCTGCAATTTATAGATCATATATAATGTACAAATATATATATATATATATATATATATATATATATATATATATATATATATATATATATATCACCATATGTAATCTAATTTTTCCTTTTCTTTTCAGAACGTAAGTACACAGATAAACATGAATGGGTTGTTGTCGAAGGCAATGTAGGGACTGTAGGAATCTCAAAATATGCTCAGGTCAGTTTAATAAATAAAAAAAGAGTGCGCGTAAGGTTCACACAGGATTGAAGTAGAACTGTTTTGCTATCATATGAGATGGTACTATTTTTATTTCAGGAAGCCCTCGGAGATGTTGTTTATGCCCAGCTCCCTGATGCAGGTACAGATCTTTCTCAAAAGGATGAATGCGGAGCATTAGAAAGTGTAAAGGCAGCATCAGAATTATATTCTCCTGTTTCGGGCAAAGTTACTGAAAAAAACTCAGCTGTAGAAAATTCACCAGCTTTGATTAACACATCATGCTATGATCAGGGTAAATAGAATAACTAGTAAATGAATTGTAACTAATAAATTTTTTTGAATTTTAGTTTATATATATATATATATATATATATATATATATAAATATTTTGTAATAATTAATGTACTGTTTTTGTTACAGGTTGGTTATTCAAAGTAAATCTGACGAAGCCTGAAGAGGTGAATAAATTGATGAGTGAGAAAGAGTATGAAGAGTTTTTGAAGAGCGATCACCATTAAATTTGGTGCATTTAAAGCTAGTTTCATCTGTGATTACCAATGATTTGGTTATCATATAGTCATTAATAAAATGTTCCTTGAATATGTTTTTTTAGTTCACGTACCTGAACTGTATATATTTGTCATTATATAAGAAATAAAAATAATATGATTTTAAATGACTTAGTAAGTTGACTGAGTTTATATTAGTAGTGAGTTGTGTAATAGTGAATTAAATATAATATATGTGAGGTTAATGAGGAGAATTCTGGTTTTGGGTTTTTGGCCAAAGCATACTTTGAAATTTAAAATTACTAAAAATATTGTGGTGCTTTTTTATAATATTGTTAGTGATGCATAGTTATATATCATCTTTAGCTCATCTTACTACGTTACTACTACAATTTTCATTTGTGTTTTTAGTATATTGGCTTAAAATATTTTTTCATGTTTTATAGTATTTGCTAAATTTATCATTATTATTAACTTCCCATAGGGTAAGTTATAGCAATGGGCCAAAAATCAAATTTTTTTTTTGCATGTCTTCACGTTTCAGAGGTTTCTGAACATTTTGGCATACTTCATATAAAACGGATGTGTGTGTGTGTATGTATGGAGACAATTTTCCGTCGACGATTTCGGGCGTATGGATGAGCCGATTTGAAAAATTTAAAAAGCAATCGATTTCTGTTGACAGGGAGATTGGTGATTAGTTTTTGGCAAAGGCAGGTCCAGCGATATGGAGCAAAAAGTGCTAAAAATGACAGTTTTCAAGAAAACGGATCAACCGATTTGAATGATCCAAAAAACATTCGATTTGTAATGATGGGGATAAGTGGTTATTACAATTTGGCAAAGACGGGTCCAGCCATTTCGGAGATACACAGCTAAATATGCAATGGCAGTTTTTGAGGGAACTAAGCATCCGATTTGAATGATTTAAAAAAAAATCTGCTTATCTATATACAAAACGTACAGGTAAAAATTTAAATCTATTGATTATTATCCTATAAATTTTAGTTTTTTACTCCCGTATATATATATTAATTATTGAAATATTCTTAAAACAAAATCCAATATTGCTTTCAAAATTCATTTTTAAATTTAACGGTTTTTTTGACAACTTAAAAGATAATTTTCAACCGATATGGCAATACTAAACGCCGCTTAAATAAAAATCTACGTTTTGCATTTTAGGTTAAGCCGGGATTGACAGTATTTTGCATAGCAAATATTTTATTAATTATATCGATTAATTGATTTTTTACGTCAGCAGAAAAAGTAAGATATATTATTCACAACAGTTTTTCATGTCGTTTCATTGCTCATTGTTTTGCTTTTAGAATGGTCGTTTATTTCTCTGACAGCCCCCCTACGAGCGGAATTATGTACAATGAAGAGAACACGACGTTAAGGGTGAACCATGCCCCTGTTGGATGTGGGACTGTCTATCTAACAGAAACGTAAGTGAAATATTAATTAGCATGAAATATCAAAACCAAAACCTTTAAGGCTAATTTGAATCCCTAACTCTTGTGTAGAGGACACATGTTTTTAATTGCTTCCATTCCAATTAATACAATTTCTACAAACACATAAGTTTACTAAGCATTTGTTTCCTTTAGAACATTATGCTGGTTCAATACAACTCAGAATCGAGGTTTCTCTATTCCATGGAAAAATGTTATCATGCACGCAATAACATCTACACCTGATGCAGCAATATATATGCAAGTCGATTTTAAATTTTCTTGGGAAAATGCGACAAACGAAAATAATGAAAATGGTGAATCAGAAGACGACGAGCCTATCATGACTGAGATGTGGCTGTTGCCTGAAAATAAAGATAATCTGAATCAAATATATCAGATTATGAATGAATGTCAAATTATGAATCCTGATGAAGAGAACAAAGGTGGGTAAATAAATCACTATCTATTACTATTAAAATCACTATTTATATTACTAATAAAATCAATATTGTTTTTAAGGAGCTCATAGTTTAATAGCAATATTTATTGCTTAAGCATTCAATAACAAATCTGGCATATTTCGTTATATTTTTACAGATGACAGTGGTGGAGATAGTGATTTTGAGGAATGGCATGAGAACGGAGGAGGTGATATAGAACGATTGTCCATAAATGATCCAGATGATCTTGATGATGGTATTAAACATTTTTTACAATCACATTTTTTCAATTTCTCAAATAATTATTTTTAATATATTATCAAATCTTGTTTTTCTTTCAACAGATGGACAATTTGAAGATGCTGAATAATTTAGAATAACTATTGCATTTTGCATTTTATTTTAAGATACTTTCTAATTGATATGTTGTTTGTTTCAGTATGAATTTTATGTATGTTCTCATTATTTAGATTGTTGAACAATAATTAATTTCTGTGAAATAAATTATATTTTTTATAATATTGTTTATATATACTATTAAATAAAGTTTCTAAGTGTGAGTGGCAATTTAAATAAGAACTATTGTATCACTTATATTTAGCTCACATATTCATTTTCGAGATTTTCTTTTAAATATTTTAGGAAATTTTTATTACATGGTTGTAGTAGTATTCATAAATTTAACTTAAATAGTTAAGTGATTACATTATGCAGATTATTTGTCTAAGTTTTTTTAAATAAATATTATCTTAAAGATAATTCCCATTTTCTTGAAAAAATATGATCGTCCGTAATGTTTCGGTCCTTATTAGTTCCACAAATTTATAAGAACTTTTTACATAATGAGGATAGGTAATTGTGACATTTTTTAGATATTTGCAATATTTTTAGAGATTTGATTTATAATATAATTTGAATCTATTTTGTACTTATGTTTATCGCATATTATTGTTAAAAATAAGTAAATTCTTTGATTTGATTTCGTTTTATTTTTTATTGAATTTAAAATATTATTTCAAACTTATAACCGTTAAAAACAAACGCGAGCGCCACTGTCGAGTTAAGAGCGAACTAGCAATTGTTTCGATCTAATGGCAGCCGCTTTGCTGCATCAGTCACTTTTATACTTTTATGATTTTAACGAGCTTTCATTTTACCGGTGTGATTCGTTTTATTATTAAATCTTATTCCTAACAGATAAAAATCACTTTTAATAGTTTGATACCCAAATTGAGATTTGCGTTATCACTTGTTTTATTAATCTTCGTGTAAAAGTTTTTAAAAGCCAAACTATTTGTTTTATCCAAGTGTTAATATTATTTGTTAAAAATGGTCGTCAAAGAATACGAAATGTTCAAACAGGAAGGTATATATTTATTTTTAAGCAATTTGAATTATTTTAGATTAAAAGAATTGCGAATTGTGCAATCAAATGAATTAAACTTAAGTAAAATGTAATTATTTTTCACTTATGTTGGAAGTTTATTATAACTGTGATTATTTCTCTGTAACACTCTGAAACATTTAATGTTACTTCAAAGTATAATAGACATATAATATTCACAAAATGTAGTTACACATAGTCCTTAAGTTATTGTACAATTACGGTTTTTTGCTCCACTGTGCAATATTGATTATTTTATTTATATATTTTCTATGATTTTTGTTTCAAAAAAATTGCAGTTGCGATGAAATTGAAAGAAGTAAATAGCAATGCTGATAAGCTACTGTTTAAAGCCATAAGCCTGCTTAATATGCAACTGGCGCAGGCTTCATCAAAACCGTTAACACAATTAGTAAGTATATTTACTTTCATTTTAAAATTGTGTTTAACATCTTTATTCTGGGCCTATTAACATTTTACAATTACATTTCTTCTATGGAATCACTAATTTGTTTCATGTTTATTTACAAATTGTTATATTTTTTATTAGATAAAGGAAGCCGAGGTTGCAGAACAATCAAAGATTGATATGTCACAGAACGATAAGAAAAGGAAAATGTCTTCCGAAGATGAAGGTATGTTAAACAGATATTGCTACTTTGAAATGTTATCAAACACTTATGTGTATCTGAGCATTTGTTTTTTATCATATCTTGATTACTTACTTATAAATTGCTATTTAAGGTTATCTTACAGAAGCATCGAGACATAAGATTGCCAAGATAGGTGGTATTACTAAAAAACAAGTTAATATAACTGTTCTCACACCAAGCAGAATGGGGCCAAAAAGTATATTATCAAAAAGTCGATTCAAAACACCCATGAGGAACAAAACTATAAATAAATCAAATTATGGAATGATCACACCCAAGGTAATGATTCTATAATAAATAAAATTTGTTATGAAGTTTCTTTTTATTTGTAGATATATTTTTCTTGTTTTATTCTTAGGTTGCTAAAAATCAAACTTTAATGCTTATGAGAAGGCCTGTTCAAGGGGAAATGGCTATGTCCTTGGCCGGAAGTCCACTCCTGGTGTCCAAGTATGTGCATTACTTTATTTATGTTTTATATTGATAGTACAATCTAGGGCGTAAAAACAATAACTTTTTCATATGTATTTTTTCATGAATCTCTCCGGGCTTTAATTAGTAATAATAAGGCTGATTGTTTTTTATGCTATCAAATCTCAATTTTACACCAAAAATATATTCACAAAGCAAAATTTAATATCTTAATTAAATATCTATCCCTAATTTAAACAAATTTAGTATCATTAATTTTACATTTTGTTGATTATTATAAGAACAATATCTGTTTATAGTGTTGTTGGCGAAGAATTGGCCAATGTTAATATACCAATGCCCGATGGAACACATCTCGCCTTGTTCCCTACACAGTTAGGAAAAATAGATCCTGAAGATTTGCCGAAATTTGATGCTGATACTAAAAAACAATTACAAATGCTTGCGGAAAATTTAACTAAAATTTGCAAGATGTGTAAATAATTCTAAATTTTTTAGTGAATTGTAGTAGAGTAATAGTTAAACCACTGATAATATTTAATTATTTAATTAGACTTAGCATTTTATTATTACATTTTAAGATACAAATATTATACTTATTGTCTATATTTGTTAACTGTTGATACGATGACGAACTCCCCACATGAAATTTGCATTTTGGTCTGTTTTGATATAAGTCCTGACGGGCCCCACAACGTGGTGGTGAGAAATATCATGTCTTTTTACTGCATTTCGAGATAATTCTGATAATGATAAAAATTTCGTAGCATAAACTGGCATTATATTTAATTTTCTAAATTTAATAATAAATAAAACAAAAATATAATCTAGTAATAAAAAAAACTGTTGTTAAAATCATACAAACTTTCACTGTAAATCTAAAAGTTATAATTCATAAAAAATAGTACATTAATATTTGTGTTTTATATTTTTAAACAATTTGAGAGTAGTTGCATTAGTTTTGTAAATAAATCATTTTAATTGTATAGTATTAAATAATATATTTATATCAATTTAATTAATTTCGTTATTAAATAAATCATTGATATATTATTTATAAATTTTATTTAACAAAACTTGATTATATATATATATATATATATATATATACTTTATTATTTTATATTCTATTTATGAAAAAAATTCTCACCTGGGTGGAAATTGAGCGTTCTTGCCATTACACCCCAGTTCAAAAAGAACATCGGTAAAAATAGTGAAAGATTTAACTGTAATAATAAACCTGCCAATTAAAGTTTTTTTTAAACAAGTACATTTATATTAACATTTATATTATATTAACAAATATAATTAAAAATTTCTTAGTGCGTTGGAAAATGCCAAATTAATTTTGAAGTCAGGCATTGGTAATAAGAAGTATTATTTTATATGTTACATATTACATGGAATGATGATAAAAAAAAACAATTACTGCAAATTAATAAATTATTATACACAATTGGATAATGTGATTTAGTATTAATATTAAAAATGTCTCAAATAAAAAACGCGAATTTTAGTAATAATTGGTTTTTGAGGTAAATCGAGTCTTATAAATGCTAAATTCGGTGATAACGATAATTATATTTTATAAACTAACTTTATATTTGATTAAAAACAAAAAAAAAACTAGTGTTGTATGGCATCGTGCCTTAAAGTAAATTGCTTGAACTTCCCGTACCGTAATGAAATATTTGAGGAATCTCATATGTTTTCAAATAGATTATATTGAATACTGTACCGTTCATTATTCGTATTTTATAGACAAAATATAAGAACTTATGAATTTGACGACGACGTTTTATATATATTTACGACTTTTATTTATAAAAAGTAAATTAACAATCGGATTTAAAATGAAGCTCATTATTGTCTAATATTTATAAGAACTTTATAAACTGATCTGCAAAGTTCAAATTATTTATTTGAAGTATATAAGTGAGCTGTAGAACTTTAGCTAGAATTAAAATTAAAATCCGATTTTTTCCCATATTGAATAGATAACAGTTATGCTTACCAAGTTTCCTAAATTCATAATAAACGAAATTTATTTTTATAAATTATTGGAATTCACGATTTGGAACTAGTCTAAACGTATTTGTAGAAATGTCTTTCAATAATAACAATAATGTCGTTTTATATATATGGAGAAACTATTCCACTTCTACTTATTTATGTTTAAGAGTTCTTAACGGATGAGCGGAGACTGAAAACGTGATAAATTTAAATATTTAAATGAATTCATGAAAAACATATATACGATTGCGGTTTGTCTCTCTATCAGCGTTAAGCGGGGTATTACTGTATTTAATTTTAAATGTATTAGTATAATTATAATTAATTTTTACAATTAGTAATTTTGCTTGTTCGTAATTTTAATTTATAAATTATCAAATTTTCAAGCCTTAAAATAGCAATTTTTTAAAACTAGTGATGCATGGAATCGTGTTGTGCCTTAAGAGAAATTGATGAAACTTTCTGCTTTTAACTTAAATTTTGTGAATTTTTGACGGTAAGTTTCAAAATTAAACTAGTTTGCCTTAAGGCAAATTTTCGATATTCAGAAAAATATTTTTTTGGAGCTTTGAAATATTTTTTTTGCTTCGCTCAAAATCAAAGGTTCTTTGAGTCATTCAAATCGGATGCTTCGTTCTCTCAAAAACTGCAATTCTTTGCACATTTAAATCCATATATCCTAAACTGCTGGACCTGCCTTTGCCAAAAACTAATCACCACTTCTCCCCATCATTATGAATTGAACCGTTTTTGAATCATTCAAATCGGATGCTCCGTTATCTCAAAAACTTAATTAATATTTTCTGCACTCTTTGCTCCGTATCTCCGAAACGGCTAGAACTGCCTTTGCCAAAAACTAATCAGCACATCTCCTTATCAATAAGAATCGAATGTTTTTTTTGAACTTACCCTACGGGATGGTAAAAATAGTTTTATAAAATATAACAACCATTCTAAAAAGTAGTTTTTTATTCTTGTAAATTGATATGTACTTTCTTCTATTTAGGGACAATGAGAGTAAATAGAAGAAAGGTCTGTGCTCAATCGACCGCAAACAACTTTCTGCTATTTATTCTAAAAAAATTGTTTTTTTTTTATAATTGACCAACGCACTTATATAGATGCCAAGATCACATTACTAAAATAGGCATTTTATTATTGGAAAAAGTTGAAGATTTATATACTTGATTTTTTAATATGAAATGAAATTAATTAGTCTTATATTGCTATAATTGTGTGTAGTTGAAGATATATATATATACTTGATTTTTTAATATAAAATAAAATTAATTAGTTTTATATTGCTATATTCGACCGAGCTTATTAAAATTATCTCATGATTTTCTGTCTTATTTATCTCTGCTGGAATATTATTTCAACTAATGAGAACTTTGGTAAAAATTTCTCCAGCGTTTAAGAATATTTTTATTATTTTAATTATTTTTCGTATTTGATATTTATCAAACATTTGAAAAAAAGGGTATTATCTCCATTTTTCACTAGGAACCTATTTTCTTGAAATTCTGGAAATTGGCTTATCTTGCTCTTAAATGCAATAGTGAAACAATTTGAAACAAGCCCCTACATTGGGGAGCAAAGGTACTCCTTCTTGGTGTTGTATTTCTTTTCTTTCAAAATAACATAATATTCATAAAAGAATTTGATTTCGTTTTTTTTTTAATTTAAAATATTATTTCAAACTTATAACCGTTAAAAAGAAACGCGAGCGCCACTGTCGAGTTAAGAGCGAACTATCAATTGTTTCGATCTAATGGCAGCCGCTTTGCTGCATCTGTCACTTTTATGATTTTAACGAGCTTTTATTTTACCGGTGTGATTCGTTTTATTATTAAATCTTATTCCTAACTGATAAATGTCACTGTTAATAGTTTGATAACTAAATCGAGATTTGTGTTATCAATTGTTTTATTAATATTTGTGTAAAAGTTTTTAAAAGCCAAACTATTTGTTTTATCCAAGTGTTAATATTATTTTTCAAAAATGGTCGTCAAAGAATACGAAATGTTCAAACAAGAAGGTATATATATATTTTTTTATTATTATTCTATATTGGAAGAATTGTGAAATGTGCAATCAAATGAAATAAACTTAAGTAAAATGCAATTATTTTTTACTTAGGTTGGAAGTTTATTATAAGTGTGATTATTTCTCTGTAACACTAAGAATCATTTAAGGCTTATCCATGATTTAATGCTACTTCAAAGTATATTACACATATAATGTAAATATGATGTATAAATATTTACAAACATTGTTGCACATAGTCTTCATAAATTTACATAATATCTTTGCTTATTTCTTTATTTTTGCTCCTATATCCCATCATTGTTTATTTTATTTGTTTTTTTTTTTTATGATTGTTTCAAAAAAATTGCAGTTGCGATGAAATTGAAAGAAGTGAATAGCAATGCTGATAAGTTACTGTTTAAAGCTCTAAGTTTGCTTAAAATGCAACAGGCGCAGGCGTCATCAAAACCGTTAACACAATTAGTAAGTATATTTACTTTCATTTTAGAATTGTATTTAGCATCTTTATTCTAAGCCTATTATCATTTTTACTAATATGTTTTATGTTTATTTACAAATTGTTATATTTTTTATTAGATAAAAGAAGCCGAGGTCGCAGAACAATCAAAGATTGATATGTCGCAGAACAATAAGAAGAGGAAAATGTCCTCTGATGATGAAGGTATGTTAAATAAATATTGCTACTCCAAAATGTTATCAAAGATTTATGTGTATCTTCACATTTGTTCTTTATCATGTCTTGGTTACTTTCTTATAAACTGCTATTTAAGGCTATCTTACAGAAGCATCAAGGCTAAAGATTGCCAAGATTGCTGGTACTACTAAAAAACAAGTTAATATAACTCATCTCACACCAAGTAGAATGGGTCCAAAAAGTATATTATCGAAAAGTCGATTCAAAACACCAATGAGGAACAAAACTATAAATAAATCAACTTATGGAATGATCACACCCAAGGTAATGCTTCTATAATAAATAAAAACATTTTTATTCTGGTATATCATGAACTTTTTATTTATATACATTTGTTTCTTATTTCATTCTTAGGTTACTAAAAATCAAACTTTAATGCTTATGAGGAGGCCTGCTCAAGGAGAAATGGCTATGTCTTTGGCGGGAAGTCCACTCCTGGTGTCCAGGTATGTGCATTACTTTATTTATATGCTTTGTGTTGATAGTAAAATTGGAATTTTACTAATAGATCGCAAATTCTATTTTCATTTCTTCTTTCAACTTTCAACCATACTTTCATGAATAATTCTAGGTTTCATTTACTATCTCAATTTTAATTGCACCAAAAATGTATTCACATAAATACATGAGGTTTTTAGCAAATTTTATTATGATCAAATATTCAGTAGTATCATTAGTTTTACATTTTGGCAACTATTTTAAAAACAATATCTGTTTTTAGTGTTGTTGGCGAAGAATTGGCCAATGTTAATATACCAATGCCCGATGGAAAACATCTTGCCTTGTTCCCCACACAGTTAGGAAAAATTGATCCTGAAGATTTGCCGAAATTTGATGCTGATACTAAAAAACAATTACAAATGCTAGCAGAAAACTTAAGTAAAATTTGCAAGATGTGTAAATAAATCTAAAATTAAATACTTTAAAAATACTCGATCAATCTTTAAATTTGAAATTCGCGCCTTTTGTTTCCTGTCATTGAAATAAACATGGCGTCTTTGACATATATTTTGACATTTTTGCAAAAACGGCGTAAATTTATAATTCTGTATGAAAAATGTTAGTGCTTTGTGAATTATTGATTGTATATTAAACTAGTGAATAATTTATTATATAATTAACCTATAAAAATATTTTATGATTGTTGTGCACATGGATCACTATTATGAAAGTAAGTTAATATACAAAAATTTGAATTTGAATGTCATATTTTGATAAAATTGATAAAGATTACAAATAAATCTTACTTATAATATATTATATGGATCACATAAAGAAGTGTTGTATGTGACCAACTTGATAAATTGTAACAATACACATTTTTAAACTTAGTTGTTATTTTCTGGAGTTCCATTTAAGTATATAGTTTCAGCTTTCAGTAAATTAACATACATTTATTGACTGTTTGTTTTTTTCACTATTTCACTAACGATACTGTCTCATTCTTGAGCAGCTGTGGTATGTGTCTCGCCTATAAAAATAAGTTCTAAAAATATGTAGTAACCACGAATAATACAAATTATTATATATATATACAATCAAAGCAATCATTCTCACTCGACACGACAACCAATCACAATCGACCCTTATAGAAATGATATCATATCACCCAAGTACATTGGGTGTGCCCCAGGGATCAATTTTAGGGCCTCTCTTATTTCTCATTTATATTAATGATTTTTACCCCACTGTACAAATCTTTGTGATTTTATTCTTTTTGCGGATGATACCAGCGTTATCATCAAGGCCAAATCTCTTAATGAATTACAACATAAATTAAGCGTGGTTATGTCAGAAATAACGAAATGGAAATAATCTAGTCCTCAATAATGATAAGACCCAAATCATATCTTTTTGTACAAAAAATCGTTTATCCAATAATATTACTTCTTTAACCATCAATAATTCAGCATATAATTTTTTGCAAGTATCAAAGTTTCTTGGTATCCATATTAATAATAATTTAATTATTATTAATCTGATCATATCTCTATCTCACTATCACCAACTTTATCTAGAACATGTTTCATGTTGCGCACCCTAAAACCCAAACTTGGTTTAAATTGCTTACTTTCAGTTTATTATAGCAACTTTTATTCTCACGTTTCATTGTATTTAATGTTCGAATTCTTTTTTTCAGCTCTTTTTTTCAGAAGCGAAATTCGTGCAGCTACTATGATTATTATAAAATTACTATCCTTTCAATATTAACTATGAATAAGCTTGACAAGAGCCTGAAATAATATCTATTATTATTGATTAGGGCTTGCTTATGAATAAATAAATAAATCATCGAGAACAAATGACGAATCATTGTCACTCGACTCTGCCGTAGCGCACTTTCGTTGTTTTGCTCAGATTTACACCCTAATTGCGCCTAAAGGAGTTTAACTTCAAAAATTTTTGTAGATTATATAAAATCTTTGCATATTTCAATTCAGTGCCGTTTGGACGATTTTGAAGAAATTTTTAATCTGTTCGTATGAACTGCAAATTATTTTTGAAATATATTATTTTTATGATTAAAGATAAGGCATATGTGCATTTTGTTAAAACCAAAGTGTTTTTAAAAAATGCAACAAGGTACTAGATTCTGTATTGTTGATCAAATCCATTGAATATTATTAAAATTCAGAGAATGTCTACAAACCCATACACAAAGTTAAATCATTAATCATGATGTATTTATTTTAAGCAATTTTTTTCATAAAATGTTATATTTAAAAAATAAATTCAAAACAGCAAAATATTAAAATTTTAAATATTAATAAGTTTTTAAAACATAACATCGATTAAAATCTCAAACATTATAATCTTTCATACTGCCCCAAGAATCGCCAACTTTTATATTCACAGGCAGGGGAACATTCAAACGAATCGCATTTTCCATGGAATCCTTAAGAATTTTTACAAATTCTTCAACACAATTTTCTTGTACTTCATATATTAATTCATCATGCATATGCAGCATCAAACAAATCGAGTCATTCTCAAATTTTGCAGTTCGATCACTGTTACTGAATTGAGAACATTGTTCTATTTTTTTGCTAACAAAGGTGTCGACTCTCACCATAGCAATTTTGGATATATCAGCTGCGGAACCTTGTATTGTTGTATTTAGAGCTTGCCTTTCTGCTTGACCTGATAAAAATAGACAAGGGGATTAAAATAATTAATATTAATTAGATTAAATTTACAGTATCTGTTTACCTTTTAATGATCTGCTGCTTTGGTTAATATTGGGCAAATAACGTCGCCTTCCTTTAATAGTTTCTACAAAACCAGTTTCACTGCACTTTTGAATAACGCTTTTTGTGTACCTATTATATAAAAAATATATTATTTACTAGATGATGAATATTTTTAGTTAATTTTATTACCTATGTAATACAGGGTATGCTCGGTTGAATGATTCTAAAAATGTTAATGCATCCAGTTCAGTGACATTAAGTGTATGCGACAAAGCTTTTGTACCCATGCCATAAATCATTCCATAAATTAGTTGTTTAGTTCGTTGTCTCATTACATCATCCACTTCATCTTCTGAAACGTTATTCCATTGAGCAGAAATCGATTTGAATACATCCTTGTTCGATTTTAATATATCACACAGAATCGGATCTTCTGATAAATGGGTCAAAATTCTGAATTCAAGTTGTCTATAGTCTGCAGATACAATTCGGTAACCATCCTTAGAAGAAAATATTGAACGGCAGCTTAAATTTTTTAATTCATCGTCCACAGCAAAATCCTTTGGAACATTTTGAATATTAGGCTCAGACATAACAATTCTCCCAGTTGCTGTTTGCATGATAAAGTGCCCGTGTAATCTGTTATTTGAAGTTATATTTCGCAGTAAAGGGTAAATGATTTTTGTTAAAGTGTTTTCTAGTTTTCTCCAAATCATGATCAAGTTTGAAATTGGAGTGTTGAGTGTTTCAAGTACTTGTTTGTTGGTGCTGACTTTTTTTCCATTAAATATTCCTAAAACTTTAGCAACCTCTTTGGAAGACGACATATTAAATCTTCTGCCTGTTAATTTATAAGCTTCATTTTGGATTTTTTGCATTTTGTCTTCAACGATGCAGTTTAGTTTTTGTAAGTCTTTACAATTCAGACAAATGCCACTAACTTCCATTTTTGCTATACACGCAACACTAGGCATTTCAATATCTGTAAAACTTAAATACATTTTTGTATTTTCACTCAATTTATGAAATAAAACCTCGTATAAAAACCATTGCATGATGCAATTGCTTGAGACTTTTATTCTGCTTTCCAATTGTTTTGAAAGTTTTATAAAATTAGCTAAATATGATTTTATCAAATGTTCTAGAGTAGGTGTTGATTCACGGGTGTTTAAAATCCAATCTGCAACCTTTGGATCTCTCAGATTGCATTTTATCTCTAACTGACAACCATAAAAAACCAGTTTTAATAAAGATTTGCAATTATATGCTATTAAGCATCTGGATTTTGAATTGAAAATGATTCTTAAAATGTCTAAACGATGCTTCAATGTGATATTTTCATCAACTAAAGTATTTTGAAGGGATAGATAATAAAGTTCAGTTTTTCCACAGTAAATGTAGAAGCCTTGTATGAAGCGGTCTTGTACGATGCAATTATATTTGCTTTCATCGATTCTTTGGCTTTGGGTAAATTTTTTACCTATTATATTCTCAGATTTGGGTATCGTATCACAAACTATGGTTACGGAGATCTTTTCTTCGCTTCTAATATTCGTACAAAATTCTAAAAAGTCATCTAAACTTTTCGTAACATTTATAAACTTTATTTTGGAGATAATTTTTAACACTTTGTATTCAGAATATCTTTGTGATTGTACGGAAGTTGATGGATTTTTTGGTGTAGTCTTTGTTATCAGTTTTGTAGTCTCTTCAGGTCCTGATATTTCATCTTGAGAACCAACCACAGCATCATCCAGGCTCAATCTTTTGATACCGATGGCATCAGGAGATTCTGATTTGCGTTTCACACTTCTTGTAACAGTTTGTTTCTTTGCTTCTGGTTTCATCCGTTCAACCCCATTTTTCTTATTATCTCCATTCATCGATATATCAGAAAATTGTTCATTATCATCAGCTCTGTCGCTTAAATTCAATGAACTTATCAGTGAATTATCAGAACAGGCTTCACGTTCCCTAAAATCATCTTTTTTACATGCCGTATCATTTTTGGCTACTTGGGTTATAATATTGTCAGTATTCTGCTCTCTATTCGATGTATCTGTACTACTTAGATTTTCGGAAGTATTTACTGTGTCATTAGCGTTATGTTTGTTCCAATCTATATTCAATGAACCCATTTCCACCTCCAAATACTTACGAGCATGCAGAATTAATAAATCTGCAGCCTCTCGTGTCGTAAGTCCTGCTTTGCCTGAAAATATAAAATAGAAACTCAATTAACTAGTAGGACGCATGGCATCGTGCCTTAAGACAAATTGCTGGAACTTTTCGTACCGTAATTAAACATTCGAGATATGAAAATAACAAATAATTGTTTTGAATAATTTCAAATAGATTATCTATTATAATTAATACATACTGTAAACTAATGAGTGCTTATTAAATCAGGCGACGAGCGTATTCTACAGACAACTTAATGTGTATGTTTATAATATATTTGTTAATTTAGAATTTTTTTCAAGATTTTGGCATTGTTTAGAAGTTTGAAATTTTTTGGATTCGTTCAAAAAAAACGTTTTTTTAACTTTTTGAAAATTTCGAAATTTTTGAAAATATTCGAAACCGTTTTTTTTTTAATTTTGATATTTTTTTAAATTTATCAAAATTTAGTTTGTCTCATTTTTTTGTTTGAAACTTATGAATTTCGAAAATTTATTGAAAGTGGTAAAAAATCATCCTTTGTTTTTAAAAAAATCGCCCTTTTGCCATTGCGGCAGCATTCTAGATTATTAATCCTTTCTTTTCATTTTATAGGGCTGCAATCGCGGACGTAATTTTTTGGGGCTAATTTTTAAAATTAGCAATTATTTTTTTGTTTTTACTTTATTCTGTACTCTTGTAACGCTGATAAATAAATTATAGAGAAAGTGATTGTAAAAAAAGTTATTGACTTTTTTTATAATGATTTAAAAATGACCTGAAATTCATACCTCTATACAAGCACTAGAATACTCCCTTAGTTCAATTATAAAGTCTTGAAAAATGATTATCACTGATTCTTGAAGAAGTTTTCATAAAAAAAATCCGATTCGCGAATTTTATGTTTCCTCGACGTTTCAAGCCATTCTGAATCGAATGAGACCAATAATTGAAAAAACTATGTGTTTGTGTGTGTGAGAACAGATTTTTTGCTGTAAATCGACGTTTTCTCAAAAATGGCTGGACCGATTTCAAAAATTTAAAAGCCATTTGATGTATCTCGATGAGGATTATCGTTTGACAGTTTTGTGCAACGATCTGCCGAGCCGTTTCTTTGTAATTTGGAAAAAAGTGTTAAGCTTTTCGTCCACATTAAGCTCATACTACCGAATCGATTTTAAAAAATCATAAACTGTTCGAAAGATATCAGTTGGGAATAATACTGATTAATAGGTGAAAATCTTCTGAGCCGTTTTCTTGTAATTAACTGTTGAAAAAAAAATTTAAACTGATTTGTATGGAACTTTTTTTGGCGATATATATCATGGTCTTATAGAACTTACTGAAATATTACGGCCTTACGACAAGTAGTTTAATTTTAAAAATTTATCAAAGTTGGAGAAAATGAGTAGTTTTCTTGTAGCTTGTTAAAATTAAAATTAGAAGATTTACTTGGTATAACGATAGAGTATTTGGTCTTGATGAACATACAAAACCATTAAAGTCCTAGGGAAACTGGTTCAATTATAAAAATTATTGATTTTTGAAAATTTGCTTTTATAAAATAGTCTGAGTTAACGTATTTGTTCGTTTTCAATTATGTGTAATAAATCCAATCGGAATACTTTTAATCACTCATAAATTAATTTATTTTTCATTGATTAAGTCGATTATTTACACATATCGGGAAGCTCATGCAACTTGTCTTAAGGCTAAATGCTATAGCAAAAGTATACTTTCAATTAGTTTTTTTTTCAGCTGTTTCAAGCTAAAATATAAATATAGTTCATATTTCCATAACAATTTCCTCACCGTTTACCCATATGCATCTAACATTATTCTTTGCTAACCCATTATCCTCACAAGATTCCTCTTGATTGTTTGTACTATGAAACGGCATAGAATTGTACAAAATATTCTCCAGGGCACACGGATCAGAAGTGGCCAGCTGCATTAAATTTTCAATGCCTGCTTTAAAAATTGCTCGAGCCCTTTGCCCATTTAATAAGGGCAACCGCATTAAATCTATTAAATCGCGTTGAATGCCGAACTGCAAACGTTGCTGGAATTGCGATATGAGAATTTCCATTGAGTCCCATCCTAGCTGATGGATGAAAGAAGTCACCATTCCTGGATAAAAGATGATAATATATATCTGATTTCCATGTTTAAAAATAAATATTCATTTACCAGCAAAAGTTGCAGCACTTTGTTGTAAACTTTGCAATACTCCTCTGGAGCATCTGAATTTTTCAGCAACGGTTTGCAATGGTACTTCATTAACTAATTCTTGCAACGCCAAGGCAGTATAAAATCTGTAATATTTAATATAATAAACATGTAATTTATTATATTAATCATATATCAGGGTAAGTTATTGTAATTGTCCAAAAATCGAAATTTAAAATTTTAGTAAATCCTTACGTTTTGAAGGTTTCTGAACATTTTGGCATACATTATAATTAGAAAAAATGGATGTATGTGTGTGTGTGTGCGCGGATACAATTTTTCTTCGACTATTTCGGGCGCACGGATCAACCGATTTGAATGGTCTAAAAAACCTTCGATTCCTATTGATAGGGAGATGTGCTGATTAGTTTTTGGCAAGGGCAGGTCCAGCCGTTTCGGAGATACGGTGCAACGAGTGCATAACATATAGATCGAGTTTTTGAGAGAACGGAGTATCCGATTTGAATGATCTAAAAAACATTCAATTTATAATAATGGAAAGAAGTGGTGATTAGTTTCTGGCAAAGGCAGGTCCAGAAATTTCGGAGATACGAAGCTAAATGTACAAAAAATTGCAGTTTTTGAGAGAACTAAGCATCCGATGTGAATGCTTCCAAAAACTTTCTGCTTGTATCGACGAAACAATTGCTTTGAGGAAAAAATCTTTTTTTTATTTCAAAATTTAAAAATATTTTTTATATCAAAAATAATTCGGATTTCAATTTTAATTCTGACTTAAGTTCTGAAGCTCACTTACATACTTTAAATAAATAATTTGAACTTTTGCAATTCAGTTTATATAATTCTTAAAAATATGAGATAAGGTCCTTCATTCTCACTCCTCTTGATTAAGTTTTGCTTATTTACTTTTTATGTAATCATATATAAACGTCGTCTTAATAAGCTCTTATATTTTGTTTATAAAATGAGAATATTGAAAGTTACAGTGTTTATAATATTTGAAAACATTTAAAATTTCTGCCATACACCACTAGTTTATTATTTATTAACTTTCCGTAGGGTAAGTTATAGTAATCGCGAAAAAATCGAAAATGAAAATTTTTATGTATCTTTACGTTTCAGAGGTTTCTGAACATTTACCTTAGAAAAAATAGATGTATGTGTGTGTGAGCGCGCGTGTGTGTGTGTGCGGATACAAAATTTCGTCGACGATTTCGCGAATACGGATTAACCGATTTGGGTAATTCAAAAAACATTCGATTCCTACTGATAAGGAGACGTGCTGATTAGTTTTTATTAGACTATAATATTAAGATAAAGATTTTAATAATAAGTAAAAATATGTGTACATTTATATGGGTTCCGTACCAGTGTTTGCACGTTAGACGACTACGCGGCGCTTATGCGATTTCATATTTCAAATCCAAATCATCTATGCAGCGCGATTGCTTAAAAAACGTTGAAAATTTTCAAAAAAATCTAAATATAAAAATCAAAATACAAAAAAAAATCGAAATATAAAAAAAAGTCTTTTTTTTTCAAAAATTCAAAATTTTCTCAAAAATCTAATTTTTTCAAAGTCTTGCATAAATTTTTTCAATAATTTAGTTTTCAGCACGAGGCCATGCACCACTAGTTTATTATTTTATTTGTATTTGTTTTATTTATATATAGAACTATGATCGGAGCATATAATTACCTTCTATGTATCTGCATTTTATGATACATTTGAGGACAATTCAACTTCAGAGTGCCTCTTATAGCTTTTACAAGGAAGGATTCTTGTACACCGACTAATTCTCCTACACGTCTCATATTTGGACTGAGCTCCTCCCATAAGTCTAATGCGAGGAGCCAATCTATGTTGCCAAGCTATAACAGATAATAAAAAGTTATTACTGTATATTAATTATTACTAATAGAATATTCTTGAGATAAATACAAACAGATAAAAACACAACTATACACCTAAGTCTGTTTTTACACGGTAGATTGGTTCCAGAAGAAGCCGTGTAAAAAAAAACGTGTAAAAAAAGACATTGATCTTATACAAAAATGGGTGATTTGTTCCTAATCTCTAAAACCTATTAAAATTAGTGACAAACAAGAATTTTTAGGGTATTCCCCTAAATTAGTGCTATACACATTTGCTTTGACCAGTAAAAATTGTTTGTACGCGCTAAAGGGGAATTCACTTAAATCTTTAAGCTAGAATTCGCAAACTATCGATACTATCGATGGTTTCAGACTTATTTCTTTCATAAATACTTTTTTGTGATATGAACATACTTCGCAAAAATTAAATTTGAGAAAAAAAAATTAAGTACATAAAATTTCAAATCGTGCATATGAGTTCAAATGGAATAAAATCGTGTAAAAAAATTAAAAATATTCAATTTTTAAACCGTGTTATATCAAAACCGTGTACAAAAAGACCGTGTAAAAACAGACTTAGGTGTATTTAGTAATCAAAATACTATGTGATATAAAGATATGAATCTTACTATATTCCGATACCTGACTACATATGCTGTAAGGTGTCACAAGATAAATCATGTGTAAATCAGTATCCAAAACAAAGCATTGCCTGGCCTTATCAAGTTCCGTAAACAGCATGAGTCCATCTTCCGGAGGCATAGAACTGGCCAAACAGGCCTGACCTAATGGTGTAGCCCATAACTTATCACCTTCATTCGTATCCTGTTGACGAACTAACTCATATTTAATTAAAAAATCAACAGTGCTCTTGATTGCATCAGACATTTCATTTTCTGAAACCAGGACTGAAAACAGCGTGCTTTTTGTGAATATTTCCAAATCCTGAAGTGATGAAGCCCTACCACTGGCTATTACCTCCAATATTGCACGTTCTAATTTTCCACGGCCCACCAGACAACTTTGTAATGATATTTCGTTCTCCGAAATTAATTTCTTGGCTACACTTGCATCTTTTTTGTTGCATATGAGTATACTTTCACCTTTGGTATCTTTTCCCATACGTCCTGCTCTTCCTATCATTTGCCTATAGGTCAAACTTTTCAAGCTTTGGCCATGAAAAATTGGTGTTCTAATTAGCACTCGGCGTGCAGGCAAATTTACACCAGAACTTAAAGTCGAAGTCGCCACAAGTACTCTTAATGCATTACTTTTAAAACCGCCTTCTATTATATCCCTTTCGTCCATAGTAAGACCAGCATGGTGAAACGCACAACCGTAGCTTACAGTATTTTTTAAAACAGAGTCCAAACCCACCGGACAATTTTTTAATTGCTCTATCAATTCATTTATGGCTGATTTATTTAACTCATCTTGCAACTTTTTTCCAATCACATTATCTGCAGCATTTAAGAGCTGCATGAAAGCTTTGGCTATTTGTTGAGCTAAATTTTCGCACCACATTTTTGTTGGGCAAAAAATTAGTACTGAACATGAGTCCATTATAGTTTCTAAACAAAGTTGGATAACGTTATCGGGATCTCTGGGGAAATCAGTATGGGGGATCATTTTTCTAATAAATTCATTTTTATAATTGTATATGAATTCATCAATTTTGTATTGTTCTTCCAAAGGTATTGGCCGGAAGTCTGTTTGATATAAACTGGCATCAAGCCATTTGGCTAATAAAGGTAAATTTGGAAGAGTGGCCGACATTCCTATGAGTTGCATTTTCAAAGACTCATCCTTCTCACAAATATATCTAACTTTTGTGAGAAGCAGCTCCAATATATAACCTCGGTCTGGAATAATTGAGAAAAAAACTACTATTTAAATATATATATATATATATATATATATATATATATATATATAAATAAATAATTCCTCTGTGATGTATGTAAATATACTCCTCCTACACGATTATTCGGATTTGGATAAATCTTTCTGAAGTTTATTAAGGGAATTTTTAGGACGTATGTGATTATAAAAATATAGTAATATTGTAGAAATAAGTAGAAAAATTGCAAAAAACGGTAAAACAGTTAAAATAATAGGGGCGGAGGGGGGGGGTATAGGCTGCTAAAAAAAATGGCATTATTTTATATGATGGATTCTACTATATATAATTGTGGATGTATAGAGAAGGTACATTGTGATCAAAATTCTTATATTAGCTGATATATAATTGGTTTGGACCAATATTTATTTATTTATATTAATTTTTTATGTAAATTTCGAATTATTACCTGGGTCTCCCACAAGATGCAATTCGTCTATAATAATAGCACCAATATCCCCAAGGGACTCATCACTGAGAGCCCTATTGATAATGCTATTCGCTTTCTCAATTGTACAAACAGCTACATGAGTTGCTTGAAAACCACCCGCAGGAGCATGTGAACCCATAAAACCAGATACTCTTATACCACTACTACCTAATATATCCTACAATAGAAAAAAAATGTAAGCCCTTGAAATATACTTCTACAAAAATATGATTTTACCTGAAAATAAAACATTTTCTCTCGAACAATAGAAACAAATGGTAATATGACTAATACTTTTTTGTGTCTTTCTAAAACAGTTTTTATTAATAGAATTTCTGAAACTAATGTTTTACCAGCTGATGTAGGAGCTGAGTAAATTAAATTTTTTCTCTTGTGCAATATTTCATGTTGATCCAAACAATCGACTTGCCATTGGAATAATTTTTTGATACCGTGGTTGGCATATTCTTGCAAAATCTGAGGCGGTAAACCCCAATTACTTAACAATAATTTATCACAGTTATGTGCAGAATTAGGAATATTATGTGATGTTTGATCACGAGTAGTATTGGAACTGTTTATATTTAAGCTAGATTCCTCATGCTTGTGTGATGTTTCTAAATTACTTTTTGGTAACGTCTGTGATGTTTTCAGAATAGATGAATTGACTTTAGGGCATGAATCATTTATTACAGTGTTGAGAGTAGAAATATTTATTTGCTCATTGGATTTATCATACACCTCATTTGTATCAATATTAGTTGTATCTTTCAAGACTATTTTGTCCTCCACAAAAGATTTTTGTGAATTATTCAATATACTAGAACTTAAATTATGCTGTGGTAATGTAAGTCCTGATTGTATAAACAAATCTTCGAGTATACACTCATCCAAAACTTTTTCATCAACTAAAGATGAAATGTTCTGTATATCATTTTGATATTGTTTTTCACTCAATTGTGAAAATGAAACATTTTCAGTATTCCAATCAATATCGTATAAACCAGATATATTAGTCGGATTACCTGAGTTATCAATAGTATTTACATTTTGCTTTATGGAATTGTTATGATCATTATCTGTGTCAACTATAGATTTATTTTTATATGATGGAATGGGACTGCTAGCATGAAATTCCTCTATGTTTTCTTTACTTTTTATTGAGTACTTTGCTGAGAATTTTTTTAAAAGGTTTGACTTATTCTGTGAACACTTTTGTGAATTCATATAGTCAAAAGAGTCATCAAAATAACATTCTAAATTGATATTACCACTAGCATTACTTGAATTTTTGGAATCATTCTGCTTATTATCACAATTTATTTCAATGGAAGACCTATTATGTATATTGTTTTTCTTGTTCTTATATGTTGTACATGGTTCTTGTGATTGATTAAAATCTATATCTACATCATTAAGGGCTAGCATTGTACCCTCTCCTAAAGAATCCATATCTTAGTTATTAAATTGCTAACATATTAGAGTTTAGATAACAGTTGAAAATATTTTCAATATTTCAAATAAACCCCCTAAAAACTGAAAAAGACTTTGAATACATTTAATCAAAATTTAACTTAATAAATTAGTACTCACTTATTGTTTTTAACATTATCTATTAAAATTATGTAAATAATAAAATTCTTATTTTGAGAATAATGTAATACTTTCTCAAATAATTATTTACAACTGTCACTCAACTGTCACCCAACTGTCAAACTTTACTTAAAGATCCAACTTCAGGTCTTTCACAATTGTCAAATTGTCAATGGCAGTGTCAGTGTTCCTTTTATATAAATATAAATTAACCTATATCTGTCAAAAACAGAATAATATTAAACATGAACTATTAAGATATTAATTATACTAAATTAATTCGTTTGATAAGCAAAATGCAATTTAAAGATACACTAGGAACAAGATTGCAAATTTTAGATACTTATAAAGAATTTCTAAACACCACACAAAACAAGTTAACTTCTTTTTTGGATCAAATTGGATGGAATGAAAAAGACACTTTTAGTGAAAAGGTAAATTTAATGTTATTGTTGTAACTTTCTTCTGAGTCGTTAATAACTGTATCTTACTAGATAAATGGTGGACAGCCAAAAAAGAATGTGTCTAAAAGTAATTCCAAAGTATTAAATGAACAAAAACTCTATCCTGATGTATGGTTACCAGAAACTGCTAAATCATGTATAAAATTAGGTAATAAATATTTTCTTATAAAATAGTCATTAAGTTGCTTCATTTTTTGTTTATACACAAACATATGATTATCCAATACTAATATTTTCAATAATTTTAGGAATGAAAGATATAAATAAAATAATTAATAAGGACACATACAACCAAAAATCTGGTAAGCAAAATGTTACAATCTTACTTATTATACTCCTCTGCGGCATTTAGTATCCTTTTATTTAAAATTTCATTGATCTAATATATATTTAAAATTAAATTTTTTATAAAACAATATCTTTTTAATGTAAAAACTAACCTACATGTAGGAATTACAATAGAATTTTTGTATATGGATTAGTCTATAAATATATTTCGTAAGTATTTGTACAGTTTCGTTTTACCTTTTTTTCTGATTTACCAATAAGTACTCGTAATATTTCAGAAAAAGTCCCACAAAGTTTGGAACAATATCAATCTGCATTTTCTAATAATGAGAGACTTATGGTTTATGAATATGTGCTGAAGAATACTGAATTAGAAACAAATTCAGACTTAAATTTGAAGTGAGTGTGAATACAGACCTTATTTTTTTTAAATTCGCCTCTAAGTTATGATATAATACTCTTTTTATTAGTTTCAGTTTAGCAAATGACTCTAACACCTCTGCAAATGAAAATTCATCTTTTCAAGATGAATTAGCTTTAAAAAGAGATTTGAAAAGACGCAGGGCAAAATATCGCAAGCCTGCAAGCCGTGGATATAAACAAGAATTAAAAGATACAATCGAAACACAAATGGAAATGTATATGAATTATCTAGAAAAAAAGTATGGCTTAGTTAACCCAAATTCTTTAAATAATGTAAAAGAAGATGCTATCAAAGTAATTGAAAAGGAAAATACTACATCTCAGTATGAATATTTTACTGAAGAACATATTTTTGAAGAAACATTGAAAAAGCGTAAAGAGAGAGAAAATAATGAACAAAGTCGCTCTCGCATTGTTGATACTTTGCGTGGCAAAAAGCCTTCTAGTAGTAAGTTTAATGAGTCTGACTTTTATTTTCATGCTCATAGTGAAAATTTGGATAAGCAAAAGTCATCTGCTGATAAGAAAGAGTCTTCAACACATGATTATCGCTCAAGGAATACAAAAAAAGATTCCTGTTATGAAGTACCTAAGAAATATAATGAATATAAAAGTAGTAGTTCTTCAAGTAAACGTAGATATTCCTCAGATTATGAAAGTGACAAATCAAAAGAACAAAATTATAAAAAAAGATCTGATGATAGAAAGGAAAAATATAAGCGTGATAAATATGATTATTATGACACCTCTGAACATAAGAGACATAAGAAGCATAAACATAAACATAAACATAGTCATTAACACTTTGTTTTCCATTCAAAGTACTTTCAATTCAGATTTTTGCATTATTATTTCATAGTCTGAGATATCTTGTCTGAATTTGGCAATGTCATAGGCTTTTTGTGAATTCATAATAATTTTTATTTTTTTATTTTGTGATTTATATTTATTATATTGCTTTAAAGCAATATTTAGAATGTATTTTGCTTTATGCAATCAAATATTTTATACAAGCCAATTATTGTACATATACAAATCAAAAATTTAATAAATCTAAAATAATACAAATTAAGGTGTATTTCAGTAATGTTAAGTAATAGACTTTTAGCATCCTTTTATTTTCCGAGACCATTAAATTGTGTGTAAAAATGGATTAATTCCATAGCTAATTTCCTTATCTATGGCTAATAGTATTAATTCCATAATTTGTGCATACCGCCAAAATTTGAAACGTACCGCCATGTTTATATTTTAGTCTTTTGCATGTTGGTGCTGTGAAAGATGCCGAATGACATTCTACAAAGCTTTCAAACCAAGAAACCCGCATAACCTAAAAGTATTAATTATTCTGGAATTTGCCAATTAGTTAATAACATGTTTAAGAAATTTGATGAAAAGGAAAGTGTGTCAGGTGTTCAACAATTGAAATCCTCTGTTCAAAAGGGAATACGAGCAAAATTGCTCGAAACTTATCCACATATAGAATCACATGTCGATGCAATTTTACCGAAAAAGGACACTTTTAGAATTGTAAAATGCCACGATCATATCGAGATAATGGTAAATGGACAGGGAGAACTATTGTTCTTTCGCCACCGTGAAGGTTCTTGGATGCCGACTTTGAAATTGTTACATAAATACCCATTTTTCTTGCCTATGCAGCAAGTTGATAAAGGAGCTATCAGATTTGTTCTATCAGGTATAATGGAATAGAAATAATTTGTGCAAAATCGTATTGCAAAATTATCAATATTATATATATATATATATATATATATATATGCTTAATTTGAGTTAAAAAGTCAGGCGTTACCAATAAAAATAGTATGAGAGTTTTTAAAAATTTATTTATTTAAAATCCATACGTTTTGGCTAGCATCTTAGCCTTCATTAAAATTTTGTATCTTAATATAACATATGAAACCATTATTAATCCATGGTATGAGTATGTGCACATTGATAAAATATATATTTTTTAACGAATATATATTTTTTAAGTTGTCGAAATTATGTATTTACTGTTCGGAGTTTAAGATAGAAATGTTAGGATGTTAAAATGTAGGACATTTCTACTTTACTCCAAATTTTAACTCATCCATTACGATCGAGTCATGTTTATTCATATCCCTCTCTTTGTTTCAGGTGCAAATATCATGTGCCCCGGTTTAACTTCTCCTGGAGCCTGCATGACTCCAGCCGAGAAAGGAACAGTTGTTGCCATAATGGCAGAAGGAAAACAACATGCTTTAGCTATTGGTATTACTTCTCTTTCTACAGCCGATATTGCCAAAGTGAATAAAGGCATCGGCGTGGAAAATTGTCATTACCTAAATGATGGACTTTGGCATATGAAAGCTGTTAAGTAGATGTTCTTTGTATTTTTATAAATGTTCATACTGGATAAAGTAAGTTTTAAATAATAAATTTGTAAATTATTGAAATTTATAATTACTGTCTTATTACTAGTTTTAAGTTTGATTTCAAGATGTGTGGTTTAGGTTGACTTGAACTTTCGTATCGGGTATGATTACGGTGACCTCAACTTAAGGGGTTACATCACTGTAGCAGCCAAATAAAACGTATATTTTGACCATTTTTTTCGGGCAGAAGAAAAAGTGATAAAACCATGATATTGAAAATAGTTATTTGTTGTACTTTAAAGTAACAAAATATAATATAATTTCGGCGAGCCGCGTCAAATTGGAGCCGCTCCGCGGCACGCAAAATGACTACAACATTTTTAAATTTTTTTATTGGAATTTTCTATAGTATATTTAGAATAACATTCTTAAGTGCTCATCATAGCGGATATCAAAAATATAGATTTTTGCTTGCTTGGCGAGCACTTTATTCAAAAACGTTAAAATTGAACGAAAAAACGGATAATAATTTATTAGTTAATGAACAAATTAACATATAGAGAATCCACTATGATAGGAACTTAAAAATGTAATTTTAAATATACTGTAAAAAAGTCGAATGAAAAAAATTTAAATTGTTGTAGTTAATTTGTTGTAGAATTTTTATAAGATCGCATGGTTTTCGAGATAAGGCAAGTAAATGCCTGAGAGAAGTGTATAAAGAAAATTCTCCGAAAGTTTCAAATAAATCGGCTTAGAGAAATGGTCGTCGTATTGAAAAAGACAGTTTAAAAAAAAACGCGTTTACAGCTTCGTAAAAGGAAGGAAACAGATTAAAATTTTAATGGACAAACGGTTGTATCTCCGAAAATATGTTAAATTGAAAACCCTTTCATACATATAGTCGAAATTTGAATATATATTGCATTTTTTACATTTTTACATTTTTTATTGCATTTAATAATGTTATAATAAAAATGTGAGGTAGGACACAATATATATAATTTTATACATTGTTTTCTATCTTAAGAGAATTTTAAATTGCCAAATTTTTCCAATTTTGAAGAATGAATATATATAATTAAATATAATAAAATCTATATGTTATAAAAAAAAGAAATACTTTTAGCAGTTTTCCAAAAAAACAACAATTTTTAAACAATGTTAATACTTAATATAAGACATTCTAACTAATCGTGAGAAAAAAAAATTCAATAAATGAAAATTGAATATTTTTAATATTGTATTTTTATGTTTTTGGTAATTATATCAAGATAAAATAAATTTTAGGCTTTATAACTTACTAAATTGATTATTTTATGTAAATTCACATACTGACATGGTTACATTTTAAAACTATTAAACTTTTTTTCATTAATATTTTATATGTATATAAAACTTATTAGATATTAACTGAGGCGTATATTTTTTTGATGAACTCAGGAATAATGGATCATTTTTCTGCAAAACTATTTGTTCCTAATTCTAAACCATAGATAAATAAGCTCTATGTTCTAAACTTCAAAATTCATGTCAATACTTTTCCAAATCTTCTAGAAATTTTTAAAGAATAAAATTCTATTTTCAATCTTCTTTTCATGTGAAATTGCTTATGTCAATTAATGCATGTTCTATATATGAAAAGTTTTTATACATTTGTATTACAACATTAGTATACAAAGTTAATATCGACAAATTTATTATGGCAATATTATTGTTATAGATGTACGTCATCACTTATAGACAAAAATTATCATTATCTAACAATTTGTGGCAGTGGATTTTTTCCTGAGATCTTATTATGATTTTTAAATACTTCGAGGTGAAATTTGCTGATTTCAAAAAGTTAAACAAAATTTTGTTAAATGTCCCAGTTTCCTCCTCCAAAGTCCTGATGTCTTGGTGGATTCTCTCGCTCTGATCTTTGCTAAAATTTTGAAAATTTTCCAAAAAAAAACCGTTCTAAATGAGATTTCCAAGAAAATAAAAAAAAGATAAATTTTTTTTTTTTAATTACTACACTAGAATTCCTTGCTAAATTAATATATTGATTATTGCTTCATATAGATAACATCATTGCCTTAGGGTAAAATACCACTCACACTTAGATTTTTTTTTCATTCATATCCCTTAACTATAATTAGTGACCTGCAACCTTTTACCTGGTCTAATTCCTCAAAACGATGCCTCATCATTATTCCATCGAGTTCACACATTCGCTCCGCGTCTGTCTGATTGGCGGACTGATTGACACTTTGCGAATTAAATATTCGCAATGGAATCGGCACTTCGGAAACCCTTTTGAATAATTCAAGTTGTTATATTTGCACGGCGAAAACTTACTTCTCTAATGCAAATGTTAATATAGAATGAGGCCGAATGAGGTTGAATTCTGTTATTCCATTCGGGAATATATTGAATGAATGATGGATTTCATACGTTCTGTACGACCGATACCTTTGTCGTATGTGGTTAATTTATTAACATATTGCAAGAATCACGTAATGGCTTATAATTTAGTCATTATAGTAAGTTCATCTCGCAATTCCAGATACCCAGCTGTAAGTCTGTAAATACTTGTATATTGTCATTTAAAAGTTGTCTCAAAACCTACATATGGCAGGGTGTACGTACATATGTAGGTTTTGAGACAACTTCTAGGGTGTCAATATACAAGTGTTTACAGACTTACAGCTGGGTATCTCGAATTCCGAGATTCTTACCTAACTCAAGCTTAAATGACTGGACTATTAGTCTAATAAAGTTTGCAAACAAAGAAAATTTTACTCCTGATTGAAAATGAGCCTATTGCTTTCGAGTCTTTGTAGAAGATTATGGACTAAGTCCGTCGTTCGGTCTCAACCTCGGTCAAGTTTGATATCAGGCAGCATGATATTAAATTCACACTATAGGTCTAAATATCCTAAAAAAATCGATCACTTTATTATTGGACGGCCTTAATGCTTACATTTCACTCGGCTTATTAAAGTGCCAAAATCAAAATGTGTATGTCAATTATTAAACCAACTAGATTTTCGATAAGTCTGTTTTTGATGAGAAAACTAATTGAGGTCTTAACTGGTATCAGCCCAGGACTGCAAGATACTATGTATCAAAAGTTATTGACGGGGTTTTATGTTGAAAATTAAGTTTTAGCTAGCTTTTTTGGTATTCATGGATTGTTGAAATTTGTTCTGTTATATATATATACACTAGATGACCCGGCGTGTTCTGTACCCACGTCTACAATTCAAAAGTTCCACATTTTTTAATATCCTATCCTATACTTTTTAATATCCTATTTGATCTCCTGCCTTTGTGTTTCATTTATGATCTTATTATAAGCAGTATTAGAATTTCAGAAAAAAATTATATAGCATCTGCGTTAAAATAACAATATCACACTTGATTTTACTACACAATATAATTGATTCAATAATTTAGTCTATAATTTTCATAATCTCGTACGATATTTTAATTGCTTTTTGGCAATTATAATTTCTGAAGTACATTTTTCTTACTAATAATTTAATAAACATTATTGTTCATGTTCAAATCTAAGGTGAATTAATTTTTAAAATCTTCAATTCAATGTATGATCAACTTGCTAAACATTCAATATCCAATGACAAACAAATGAATTTTTGATACATGAAACAAAATTCTAAATGATTTTTTTTAATAAGTAGAAATATTTTTGTATTGTTAAATAATTTAGTAAAGTAAACCAAAATGCGACATGCATAAGTTTAAAAATATAATGTATATGCAATTTTTGGACTTATTGCATTATTTATTAAACTGAATTATATAATTTCATCTGCCAAACATACACTGTTGACTGTATCTTATATTATTTTAATTGCTGGCACATCTCAGCTGCTTTTCGGCTATAATAATGTAGACATTAAATTTTTCTTGTATATTATATTCTAATATTATTCAGGCTCATAATATCAGCTAAATTCACATTTCAAGTGAATTGACATTTCTAGCAGATGACAGTTCAAACATTTTCAATGGCAAACAATGACAAGTGTTTTTTCGTATTTTTTTTTCATTTATTTTCTACAATATTACTATAGTTCTATGGTTCAATAAATCTTAAAAATTTTCTTTGACAAACTCTAAAAAGAATTATCAAGATCCGAATAACCGTTTAGAGGAAGTATCAAATCATACACCCGTACAGAAGAATTTTATATCTAATGCTAGGAAGGCATTACGTTTTATTTTAAAACTTTTTTCTACTTTCCAAACTCCAAGTTCTGTTTCGTGATTCCTTCAATTTTTTGGAAACTAATATGAATAATAAATTATGTATCTTACGTATGGGATATATTGATAAGATTTTCGTAAGAAACTAGATTTTTGGTAATATATGCTTGAGGCGTTATTGGAAAAGTTTCACACCCATGGTAATATGTTGGTAGATTAGGCCCATTACATTATTTTCAAAAGTTTTTTTAAGTTCAGTCCTTGTTGAAAGATTTAATAGATATTGAAAAATAAGTTTGGCACAAAATAAAATATTTTTGAGTAATCTATAATTATATTATTATAGTATAATATAAAATATTATAGTATAATAGAAAATTTTCCGAGTTAAAGTGTTCGTTCGTTTTCAATTATGTGTAATGAAACCACTCGGAATACTTTTAATCACTCATAAATTAATTTATTTTTATTGATTAAATCGATTATTTATACATATCGGGAAGTTCATGGAACTTGCCTCAAGGCAAAATACCAATACCACTTAGTTTATTGGTTATTCACACTTCACAAAGTGCCACTTATTTCTCAAGTTTTTTTATATTCAGTTATTCAGATATTTTTGACATATTCAAACGAATTAAATTTACAAAAATATGACCTCAAGATAATGCGTACAGTATTATTATTCGTTATTATCTTGTATTAATAAAAACAGCAAAATGTTTAATGTCTTCTGAGAACACAATCTGTAATATAGAAAGAGAGATTGTAGTATACAACTAATAAACACTTTCTCTTGATTTTCAATTTTTGTATT